AAATCTCAAATAAATAGAGCCTATTCAACCATACATTTGATATATTTGTCAGAAAAGGTGCTAAAAAATAAGTTATAAAGGAAATCTGACTATTTTATGGCCAATGAGCTATCAAAAACTTGTAGAGTGAAGAAAGGAAAGGGAGAGCCAGCCCTGATGGTCTGTCTCGTGGTTAAGGTTCGGTGGTCTCACTGTTTCGGCAGCCCTGGGTTCACTTCAGTGTTGTGGAACCACACCACCCATCTGTCAGTTGCCATGCTGTGGTGGCGGCTCACATAGAAGAACTAGAAGGACTTACAACTGTCATATACAACCATGTACTGGGAGCTTGGGGAGAAGAAAAAAAAAGAGAAGATAGAACAGCTAATAGAAGTGAGCTCAGGGCAAATCCTTCCCTGCCAAAAAAAAAAAAAAGGGAGAGATCAGGAGCAAAGCAGCCAGGCAGTAAAATATCTTTGTGCGCAGGCTGACCTGACCTTAATCCTAGCTGCTACCTTTTCCAGGCATGTGACTAGGCAAGATCTTAATCTCTCTAAACCTCAGTGTCTTTATCTATAAACTGATAAAACTAATGGTTTTTGTTTTGTAGAGTAGTTGTGAGAACTACAGTAAATAATCCATGATAACCATCAATAAATGATAGCTTTGACTATATAAATATTATACTTAGTATCTGATTCGTAGTTGGCTCTCAAAAATGTTAGTTTCCTGCTTTTCTTTACCTAATTGTACCAACATTTTTGAGAGTTTGTTATGCGAAGAAAAGGGGAAGGTTTCTCTAGACCAATAATATTCAAATGTTTTTGTTCTCATACACCCTAAAAGGAACCTGAAAAAGTTATATACATATACATTCTCTCACATGATTTTTCAATATAAGTTGAAAGAATAGTAAATTTTAATTTTCCCATGTATTGTAAATATTAGCATTTTAAAAACAAAACTAGGGGCTGGCCCCGTGGCATTGTGGTTAAGTGCGCACGCTCTGCTACTAGCGGCCTGGGTTTGGATCCCAGGCGCGCACCGACACACCGCTTCTCCGGCCATGCTGAGGCCATATCCCACATACAGCAACTAGAAGGATGTGCAACTATGACGTACAACTATCTACTGGGGCTTTGGGGAAGAAAAAAAGGAGGAGGATTGGCAATAGATGTTAGCTCAGAGCCGGCAAAAAGAGGAGGATTAGCACGGATGTTAGCTCAGGGCTGATCTTCCTCACAAAAACAAAAACAAAAACAAAAAAAAACAAAAATTATTTCATCCCTCTTTAAAATGTACCCAGTAGGGCTGGCCCCGTGGCTTAGCGGTTAAGTGTGTGCGCTCCGCTGCTGGCGGCCCGGGTTTGGATCCCGGGCGCGGACTGAGGCACTGCTTCTCCGGCCATGCTGAGGCCGTGTCCCACATACAGCAACTAGAAGGATGTGCAACTATGACATACAACTATCTACTGGAGCTTTGGGGGAAATAAATAAATAAATAAATAAATAAATAAATAAATAAAAATAAATAAATAAAATAAAATAAAATGTACCCAGTAGAATTGAAATATCATGGCAATTTGATACCCAGCATCATCCATTTAAACAAGTATACAAACAAGTTTTTCTTTAACAGTAAGAAATTTTGTATCATTCCATTTTCTCCTTATTTTCATTCTACTTTCCCCAGAGAATTTTATCCTAATGTAATATATTTTTATGCTTAAATATCTTTTATTGATCAGGAAAAGGTAAATATTTCTAAATTTTAACAATTAAAAATTTCCTGGGACCCAAAAATCCAGGTATCAAATATTCATTCTGGATTGAGTTATCATTTTAATTCTTATTTGTACATAACTGATCAAAATAGCATAAATACATTGCAAATTTCTATAACTATTAAACATAAAAAGTAAAATTTTTAACAGAATCAGAGCTGTTAATGAGAAAGAAGAGATTTTTTCCCCCAATAAGTTAATGGATCCATTAATTATTTCTTCCTAGAATGAGATAAGATTCAGCATCAATACCAGCCTTATTTTTCGTTTTTATAAAAAGATGCAAACGCTGCAAAGCCTTCTAGCATAAATGGCCCGGGGGTTGGAAGGCTATTTCCTCAGGTCCTCCTCTGCTGCTTCCTTCTCAGTGTTCAGGTCTCAGCTCAGATGTGACCTCCTCAGGGAGGCCTTGCCTGATGACCGGATCTAAAGCAGTCCCTCTGTAGCCCTTTACCCGGTTATGTGATCATCATGACGCGTGTCACTATCTGCAGATGTCTTGTTTGGGTACTTAACGCATTGTTCCCCTCTGCTAGAACATCAGTTCTATGAAGTCAGGGGCCTTGTCTGCTCCTTGTAGTGACGTGGCAGGCACTATGATATAAATTCTTGTTGGTTGGATGAATGAATGATACGTTTGTCTGAGAGGACTATTCGTTTACAGAGCAGCCACTGGGAAAGGAACCATTTTCCCTGTGTAACATCAAACCAAGATCCTTGGAGCACCACAACGGAAGAGGAATCTCCATGTGGGCAGGGGAGCCTACTCTTGCGTCTTAAGAGTCACCTGTGGTACAACTGATATTCGACTGGAACAATTAAACTTGGCATAAAATAACAAAAGGAAAATAAACACACAGGGTAACGTGCAACTGGATAAGCTGGGAGTTTTCAGCCTGAGCTCCTCCCCATGGTTGGAAATGTGTGGAAATACTTTTTGGTTGGTGTGGGGACTGGCCAATAGCTGTAGCTAGTTGGCTTTCCACAGGGATGCTTAAGCCCTGCAACCTGCAGGACAATCCCCCCAGAAAGAACAGTCCCACCCCAAACCCTGAGAGCGTCCCCGTGAGAAACTCCGCAGCTCCCGGCCGCTCAGGACCGCGCCTCCTCGCGGCATTTCAGCGTCTCACAACCAAGAGCACTCTAGCCCAGACAACCGGAGGTCCCATTCCCATCAGGTCCCATTCCCGTCGAAAGCCTGAGTTTCAGGTTTTCTGACCAAGCACGTGTCTCTTCCCAAATGGCCAATCAGAAAGAATGTCCACCCCCTCTGAGGACAGCCCACCACCACCTACCCTATCCAAACAATATAACAAGACAGGAGGCCCATGGTTCCCAAAGGAGATACAGAATGTTACCGCACAAAATTGGGGTTCTCTTGCCTGATGTGCATAAAAAAAGCCGATTATTACAGCATCAGCTTTGGGAAAAGAAATGTAGCTTTATTTTGCGAGATTGATCTGCAAGGAGACAGTGGGCATGCGCGCTCAGATCTGTCTCCCCCATCCCAGGCTTGGTGCACAATTTATGGGATGAAGGGCAGGGCAGTCTGAAGTGTGGGGATAGATGATTGCAGGTAAGGAGGAGTGAGGTAATTGATGATCTGCGCAAACATAGTCAAGCTTCATGCCTCTTCATAGGATGCATGTTCACAAAATGGCCGTGTTACCATGATCTAAGGTTGGAGTTTTTAGCTCCTTGACGTCAAAAAAAGGCACTTATGAGCATTTGCGCAGGCCCAGTTGACAGCTTGGTGGTCTCAACTGGCCTTAATTGGACAAGGGGGTCTCAGTTCCTGAAGGACAACTCTTAATTACTCTGTTGCTAAGACGAGGTCAGTTGAACTGGTCCTGGAGGGCCCGCGGTTACAAGATGACTTTTAAAAACTGTTATTACACTGGTATGGCGGTGGGGTGGAGAAAGTGCTGGGGGAGGGGAGGAATCTACTTGACCTAGGAAAGGCTAGCCTAGTATTGTGAGGGATTAAATAGATTTGAGCAACTAGAAGGCTGTGCAACTATGACATACAACTATCTACTGGGGCTTTGGGGGAAATAAATAAATAAATAAAAATTAAAAAAAAAAAAAAGAATAAATAGATTTAAAACATCTGCTATCTTGTAACCCAATGCATTTCAGCGAGCGCTATGAAAAGGCCTTTGTGAGCACAAATAGCAAGAACACAGACTTTCCAACCACGAGGCTTGTGAAATGTTCCCTGAAACACTTCCTTAGTTTGTTCTTAGTATTTTTTTTTCCCTCTAGTTAACCCAAATGTGCAGCTATTTTGTAAATTGTTTTTAGGATTCAATTTATTTTGTAAAGGCTTTGTGCCACATGAAGGCATGTAACATTTTTACCATACAGATTAGGTAGGGCGGCAGCTGAAAGATATTTATCTCCTCCCAGAATCTGTTTTCCTGTTACAAAAATTTTAACCTTGAGTTTGAGAGGTGGACGTTAGCAGAAAGATTCCAGAATCTTGCACAGACAATAAACTTGAGTTTATCAGAAAAAAACCCATCGACTTTATTGAATGGCAAGAAATAGTGTTTAATAAGTTTCAGCAGAGCCTACATCTTATTTTTCATAACCTCAGAAGTAGCAATAACAAAAAATTTATTGACCATCTACTATGTGCCCAAAAAAGTTGTTAATTCAAAAGACTGCTTATTGCATGTGCGACTCATTATCAAATAGTCCTACTCACCAGTGTTTATATTTTAAATATTTCACTAAAATTGAAAATTTTGTTATTAAAAACTTGAAAACGACTGGTTGTCATTAACTATGTAAAAAAAGCTGCCTTTTTCCATTTGCTCCAGTTGCCGGCCTTCAGTGAGGACGGGGAGAAAACGGAAATGCAAATCACCTGACAGCATGTCCCTCTTACCTGTAGGAAACACATCTCAAATAACAGGGTTTTGTTTGTTTTTAGATTTCACGAACAGGTGGGGACTGTTCCAGGCTGCCCTTGATCAGTGAACCCGAAACTTTCCAACTAGAGCAGCCCTTTTCAGCCAATGCACTAAGATACAGGCTTTTAGGATTTCTTTCTAGGCCAAACGTTCTTAACTTTTAAAATGGGCTCAACGCCACCCGACGCGGGAGCTAGTGGTTTCCCCCGGCGCCGGCGGCTCAGCGCCCTCCGGGGACGTGAGGGGGCGTGGTCGCGAGGGCGCGGGGAGGGGGCCCGACGACCCCAGAGCCGGAACGGGCGGAGTCGCCGAGAGGGTGGCGGGAAAAGAGGAGCCCGGGAGAGGCCCCGCCTCCTGGCCCGCTGCAGTCCCAGCCTCGGCCTCCACGCCGTCGCCATGCCAGCCTTCGGCTCCGAGCTGCAGCGCCCGCCCTCGCCGCCCGCCGCGCAGGAGCGGGGCGCCGAGCCCCACGGGGAGCTGCAGTACCTGGGGCAGGTGGAGCACATCCTGCGCTGCGGCTTCCGAAAGGATGACCGCACGGGCACCGGCACCCTGTCGGTGTTCGGCCTGCAGGCACGCTACAACCTGAGAGGTGACGCAGGGGGGCCCCGGGCCTGGGTGGGCTCCGAGCTGCAGCGGGAAAGCGCTCGGGGGAGGCCGGGCCCCACGGTCCACGTTTAGTCCCAGCCTCGGTCCTCTAAGGTAGGGGTGGCATCCTTATCCCCGTTTTACAGACGCCGACACTGAGGCTCAGATTAGAGCAAGGATTTGCGTAGGGTCACACGGACAGGAGTGACATCGCTTGGAGGTGACACCAGGCAGGTGCTTCTCACCCCGCTAGGCTGTCTCCCCCAAAGCGGGCACGGTCCAGTAGTATCTGCCGCATTCTAGAGAGTGGGAGAGGATCTGCCCGGTCTTGACCAAGGGCGTGGCTAGAGGCCCGCGCTGTTACCCCTCCTCCTCCCTGCCGGTACTGGCCGTTTCGTTTTGCAAAGGTTTTAAAATTGGAGCGAAGATTATGTGGGTGGGGCAGCAGCGGCGGGAAGAGAGAGAACTGACAGGCGCGGGCGGGAACTTGTGGTTCGTGACCGTTTTTCCCATCCAGGTGGTCCCACGAACCGGCTTTCCTCTTAAACCTTGAAAGAGGAACGCGAGAGCCCGAGTAGTTCTTATTCGTCTTTTCCTTTAGTACTGGATGGCTCCTGGGAAGAAGTGTCTCCTGGGGGTTCTTCGGGTCAGGCTTTCAGGGGACACAGGGGCGGCATGGGGATGGGCACGGGACATACATCCTTGACTCGAGTCTGGAAGGTGGTTTGAGTGGGAGACCCACTATTAGTGAAGCAGATTCACTGTGGTCAGGGGAGAAAGCCTCCACCCCACACCCAACTGGAGACTGGAAAATACCGCGCGCGGTGGCTCGTCTGGCTTGGACAGCTTGGGGAGTTTCATCTGAGCAGAGGCATCCACCTTCCTGCAGCTCCAGGCACAGTGGCCTCCAGTGAGCCTCAGACCTAGTTTGTACTCCAGCCCAGCTGCTTGGATGGTGGGCAAGTTACTTAACCTCTCTGGTCTTCAGCTTCCCCGGGTGCTCAAAACAGAGGCAATAATGCTCATAGGCGATACTGATGAAAGTAGGTGCTTGAAAAATCTATTAATCGACTTTACAAAGGATACTGTGGACTGAAGAGGTGCCAAATTTAGAGATAAGCTTTTACATTTTTATTTCTCTATTGCTTGTTGGAAACTTCTGTATTGCCTGTAAAATAACGCTGCCTCAAGGAGGGCTGTTTGAGGATTAAGTAGGATTGTGCATATAAAGTGTTCAAATAGTTACTATTTTTGGTACACTTAAAAAATAGAGGTCAATTTGCTTACAAATATTTAAACTATTCTTCAGTTTTCGCCAGGGCGATATCTACTATCCCCTGGTCCTGAGCGAGTTTTCCCTGGCAGGATAATCAGGAAGTGTCCTGGGAGCCTGCAGGCTCGTCTAGGGCACATTTCGTGTGTTGTCATCACACCTCTGCGAAGGAGTCACACTAACTGGGTATCGGTTGGTAGTCTTTCCGTGTCTACACAGGCATCCCTGCCTGGCCCCGCCCCATGTGACTGTGGAAAGCTTGTGTGCGGTGGCAGGGGGCTCGGGAGGGCGGGCTTGGTCTGAACTGTGTCAGCAACTTGCTCTGCAGCCTGGGAGCTCCACCCTGATCCCTGCGCCAACGTGGCAGGAGTGGAAGTTTCCCGGTTGCTCCTGTTATGTCCTGGGGCAGTTTTCTTCCACAGAGAAAGTTGGATGGCATGTTCTATTTTCCTGTCTTGAGAGTATATGGCAAACTCTTTTTCAGATGAATTTCCTCTGCTGACAACCAAACGTGTTTTCTGGAAGGGTGTTTTGGAGGAGTTGCTGTGGTTTATCAAGGTAAAGAAGTTGCTGCTATGGAAATTGACCGTCTGTTCTCAACACAGCACCAGTGAGATCCTTTTAATAAAAAGTCAGATCGTGTTGCTCCTCCCCTAAAGCCCGTAGTGGCTCCCATTTCATTCAGTAAGAGCCGAGCTCCTTACCAGGGCCTCTGTCTGGCTCTGGCCTCCTTGCTAATCTTTGAGCACACAGGACGTTCCCGCCTGGGGTTCTGGCACCTGCTAGTCCTGCTCCCTGGACCCTTCTTTCCCGGCATGTATCATGACTCACTCCCTCACCTCCTTCAAGTCTGCTCAGTGAGCCTCTCCCGACCTCCAGGTCAAAGACTGCGATTACCCCCAAACACCCTCCTCCCTCCCCTCCTTTGTTTACTCCCTAGAGAAACGTCATCACCTGAGGTATAATGGCTGCCCTCCTCCTTCCTCCCCTACGAGGGGGAAGGCAGACAATAAATAAGTAAAATGTATGTTCTGTAAGGGCAGAGAATTGTTTCTCTTGTTCACTGTTGTATCCCCATGGCCTAGATCACAGCCTGCCACATAGTAGGCCCTCAACATGGATTGATCACTGAATGTAGATCCCAGCCATGTTCTTGTGTTCGTATAGTAACAAGCTGTACCTCTTCCAAAAAGCCATGTAGTTACCCTGGGCAAGGTTTGCAGAGTGCCGTGATGACAGGCAGCGGCCACGCCTAGCTTCCCTTTGTTCTGACTCCTGGTCCAGACCAGGTCAGAGGATGCCTGAGGACATGGGCTCAGCTCTGGGCCGTGCTAGAAGTTGGGATCCCTTCTACAGAGCACTCGGTGTGGCTTGTATGGTCTCGAGCCAAACCAGATCCAAGACCTCTTATCGCACTTTAGAAAGGGTTTAGATTTGGATCCATTCTAGTCTTCCTTAGTTCTGTATTCTTGGGGTATTTTCTTCTGTGTTGGCCTATCTCCACTGACAGTGAGCCTCTAGTTCCACATACATCATCAGAAGTCTTAGAAGAGGACATCTGTAAACCAGCTAGAGCCCAGTCTGAGTGGATGGAAAGGGGAGACTTGGAGCAATATGTGAAAGATCGAGAAATTATTTATTGGAAGTGAAAAAATTAGTACAAAGTCAACAATAGAGGAGGAAATGAGATGCTCAAAAATAAAAATGCATTCACCAGTTTTATCTTAAAGCTTGAATTCAGGATTCTAAGAAATCCTCACCAGTAACACATCAGACTCACCTCTGATAGAGTTCTTCCATTAGTGACTGCATAACATATAGGAGTCAGAAGGTACCTGCATTTCAGGTGGGACCTGCAGGCAAGATGGAGAGATGGGGTCTGAGTGGTAGTTAATGTCTATTGAGCACCAAGTGTTTTGCTTGTATTATCTAATCCTCACAGTAATATGTGTGGTCAGTACTACTGTGTGCTCTTTTGTAGATGTGGATATTGAAGCTAGAGGGGTCAGGGAGCTAGTCAGAGGAGAAGGGAGGTAGAGGACAGCCACAGAGCCCGGGTGTGTGGGGCACCACAGCCTTGCTTGTAATTGTTACAGCACATTATACCCAGAGGCACCAGAGGCCGATGGAGTCTGTCCTTGACCTGGATGCATGATCAGGATACGGGTTAGGAGGACATGGGCTAAATCTAGTGAGATGAAATATAAGAAAAAAATGTAAAGCTTGTACTTGGCACAAAAGAAAAAAAACACCCAAAAAACCAACTCCACCTTAACTGTGCAAGTACCGGTTGAGGGTAAACATAACTCTCTAGGTGGCACACTTCCAGAAAAGGTATGTGACTGACACATTTGCCAGAAAAGCTAATACTAATGAGTCCAGTCAGTAGAAATATCCTATATTCCAGGTCTGAGATATACCAAACAGATTGCATGTGAGGCATTAAATTCATTTTGGAGCATCACACTTAGACACAGAGCACATTTGGTTAAGAAACACGAAACTGTCAGATGAGGTAGGAATAATTAAAGGAGTTAAGAGATGTGTAGTCTAGAAAATTTAGATGAGGGGAGTAGGGAAAAAAGATTTGAGAGGGTGGTTCTGAAGAAGGGATCAGACTGTCCTGGAGGCCCTCAAAAAGTTTGGGCTGGGACCAGCCTACTTAAAAAGGGGCTGTGCAGAGACGTGTCAAGTGCCTGTCCCCTAGCGTGTCAGCGAGGCTGGAGGCCCACTTGTTGGGAGGCTCTTGGGGCATCAGCCCCGATGGCTCAGAATTCACCTGGATGCCTGCCCTACTTTCCCATCTCTTCCAGGGATCCACAAATGCTAACGAACTGTCTTCCAAGGGAGTGAAAATCTGGGATGCCAATGGGTCCCGAGACGTCTTGGACAGCCTGGGATTCTCCACCAGAGAAGAAGGGGATTTAGGTCCAGTTTATGGCTTTCAGTGGAGGCATTTTGGGGCAGAATACAAAGATATGGATTCAGGTGAGGAGACACAGCGTTGCCTCAGATATCCTGAGTGCCCATGATAGCATGAGTTTGTTCCACTATTTCAAAAAAGTCTGGGGCTAAGAAGTCAGTGTCTGGGGAGCTGATGTATAACTGACCTTGTGAGAGGCTGTTTGAGATTCAGGAGACACAACTAACCCTCACAGAGGTCAGATCACACTCTTGGTGATTAGCACTGATTGGGTGTTTGGCACTCTTCTGTACCCTGTTTCATTGGCAGATAGCAACATGGTCGCTGTGTTGGGGTATAAGGTAGGAAGTTCATCTGGGGGACAAGACGCCCAGGGATTGCCTTGCTGCAGCTTTGGTCTCCCTTTTCAAGACTGAGCCACCCAGCACACTGGGTGGTGCTGATGTGACAGCGTAGTTCATGGGTCACCCTTTTCTCCCTACCCTGCTGCGGTGGAGGAAGATGAAACTTTTCACTCCTGGATGTCCACCTTCCTCTGTCACTTGATGGCACCACTTGCTGAGTGTCACAGAGCCCAGCCCTGGTCCCTTGACCCTTCCTATCCCACATGTCCTTAGGTCAGGGGTTGCAAAAGCAAATGCCTACCTTGGGGTGTGTGTCTGTGTGTGCATGCATATGGGCAGGAAGTAACTGTGCTGGCTGGGCAGAGACCAGTGGCCTGGGCCTGAGTCTCACCCAAAGGGGACAGTCACCTCTCACTTCCAGCTAGCTAGAGGGATTTGTTGTCAGAATTCTTCAAGCCTAAAATCTGCATTTTATGTGTGATCTTGAGATCTTTTGAATGTTGGCATGAAATTTCAGTAAGTTTAAAATGCTGTACAGACCGGGAATAGGCAAATTCATAGAGACAGAAAGTAGGATGGTGGCTGCCAGGGAATGGGGAGTTGTTGTTTGATGGGTACAGAGTTGCAGTTTGGGAAGATGAAAAAGATCTGGAGTGGATAGTGGTGATGGCTCTACAATGTCGGGAATGTACTTAGTGCTACTGACTACACACTCAAAAATGGCTCAAATGGTCAATTTATGTTATGTAAACTTTGCCACACACGCACACACAAAATGCTGTCTGGGCCAGACTCTTCCGCAGGTAAATAAATGGTCTGTCAGTTGTTAGTGTGCAGCCTCTGTCCTAGGACGTCCTCAGGATTTGAGGCTGCTCCCCTGGCTTAATTGTGCCTTAAATCCTGCCTAGTGTTCAGTTATTTATTCTCACTCAGGGGCCTAATACAATTATGACCTTAGTTTAGAGTTGTGTGAAAGCTCGGCTGTTGGATTTCAGTAGGTGAGTCTGTCTTTTTTGTTTATTTTTAAATTTTTATCCTGAAATAATTATAGGTTCACAGGAAGTTACAAAAAAATATACAGAGAAGTCCCTGTATGCTTCACCCAGTTTTCCCCAATGATAACATCTTGTATAACATCTCACATAAATCCACAGAGCTTGTGAGATTTCTCCAGTTTTCCATACACTTGTGTGTGTGTGCGCGCACATGTGTGCAATTTTAGCACCTGTAGATTTGTCTAACCACCACCACAATCGGTGCAAAACTGTACCATCACAGTTCATCTTTTTTTTTTAATCTTCGATATTACCTTTTTTGGAACTGTGATTGTAACAGGACTTTCTCCCCCCGCCAAATTAAGAACTACTGGACTAGAACATAGCCTGACACCAGTAAGTGGAAGTTTAAGCAGAGGGGATATGAAGCTCTGCTCTTCTCAGCTTCCAGTTCCACTGCAGAAGGAAAGCAAGGAATTAAGTCCAGAGATCAGAAATGGGAGAAAAGTACAAGGCAGTATAATAATTATAGAGGTTTCCTGATATTTACAAGTCAATAGGTGTTTAGCTGCTAAATTGTAATTTTAGTTGGAAGTGTTGGAAGGATAGTGTCTAGATCATAGAAAGGAATCCATAGTCCTGTTAGTTGAAACGTGTATGCAACAGTATATTCTACTTAAGGTCTGGTGCTTTCTGTGGCAGTGAACCTGTGCCAAGAATGGTTGATGGGTATGGAGACCAAGGCCCACGGGGACCACTGGAAGAAACAGATTGTTGAGACTGGAGGTTAGCAATAGGGGGAGGGGAAGGAGACGACAGCATGACGGACCAAATATTTACAGGACTTTTACATAGAAAAGAAAATAGATTTTGTTATGGCTCCAGAGGGCAGACCTAGGAGCCTAGACAGAGCCCTGAACTCAACATAACCCAACAAGATCTGAGGAATTCGTAGGGCGCATTGGTTGTCTTATAACCATGGGCCAAGGGGGGCTGTGGAAGGACAGTGTGATAGATGACCTCCAAGGCCATCTCACGAGATGCTGTGATTAACGTGTGTATGTGTTCTCTCTTTTTGGCAATTCTACAGATTATTCAGGTCAAGGAGTAGACCAACTGCAAAAAGTGATTAACACAATCAAAACCAACCCTGACGACAGAAGAATCATCCTGTGTGCTTGGAATCCAAAAGGTTGAGAGCATCCCAGTCACCCTCTCTTGTCCTAACTGTACCGTTAGCACAAAGGGCAGCATTATGGCCTCATGCCGAGGCAGCTGGCGGGAGGCGGGCCCTGGGAACTGTGCCTGGCCACTCAGCTGGGTGTCTGACCCCCGGCTAATTTTTTTTAATTAATTTACTTTTTGCTGAGGAATATTCACCCTGAGCTAACATCTGTCGCCAATCTTCCTCTATTTTGTATGTGGGTTGCAGCCACAGTATGGCTGCCCACGAGTGGTGTAGGTCTGTGCTCGGGGACCAAACATGGGCTGCTGAAGTGGAGCATGCCAAACCTAACCACTAGGCCACGGGGCTGGCCCCCAGATTTTAACTTTTTAAATCAGGGCAGATGAAGTTTCAGATCACCTCCACCTTGATATTATTAATATCTTTAACAACTGTGTTGTAAAATTAAGCTTTACCAAGGTGTATTAAATATCCAGAGTGGAATATTTGCATTTATAATAGAGACTTTGGATACAGGACGATGTTCCTGGGGCCCCTGCAGATGAGTTAAATGAGTTCCTTCTGTACTCGTCGTCTGCTGCCATGACAGTAGCACAAGTAGTTAATTTCAGCTCGAGTGGAAGAGCGTTGCTTCAGCGGTAGATGTACATGCACACAAGTCTCCTGTTGGTGGACAGGTCTCCGTCGACTCTGTGCCGTCCCTGGGACTGGAATGGTCTGCCTTTATTTATTTATTTATTTACTTGAGGAAGATCAGCCCTGGGCTAACATCTCTTGCCAATCCTCCTCTTTTTTCTGAGGAACATGGGTGCTGGGCTAACATCCATGCCCATCTTCCTCTACTTTATATGGGACGCTGCCACAGCATGGCTTTCATGAGCAGTGCGTATGCCCGTGCCCGGGATCCGAACCTACAAACCCTGGGCCGCCTTGGTGGAGTGTGTGAACTTAACCGCTACGCCACCAGGCTGGCCCTGGAGTGGTCTGCTTTTGACGTGAGGGTCCAGGGGGTCACTGCGGCCCAGTGGCTCTTTCTCTTGGTCTCCACTGTATGCATTGGCTAACTGTTTCTTGTTTTACTTTGCCTATAGTTATGTTCTTTAAAACCACCAGCCCTCCTCATTTTCCTCTGTGCTGGCTCTTCAGATCTTCCTCTCATGGCTCTACCTCCGTGCCATGCGCTTTGCCAGTTCTACGTGGTGAACGGTGAGCTGTCCTGCCAGCTGTACCAGAGGTCGGGAGACATGGGCCTGGGTGTGCCCTTCAACATTGCCAGCTACGCCCTGCTCACCTACATGATCGCACACATCACGGGCCTGAAGGTGGGCTGCCCTCAGAAGGAACGATTGCTGCCAGCCCAATGCCCTAAGCGCTTAGATTCTCTAACGTGGAAAATCTAATTTCAGAGGATTCAGTCTCTGATTAGTTTTAAACAAGAAATGAACTTGCTCACTTTGTAACCTTCCATGGAACTTTCCTGTCTTTGTGGTCTATATAAACTAACAGGTTTATATAGGTTGTTTATAGTACGAGACAACTTTTTTCAAAAGCTACACTGGTTAAATTCTTTATTTTCTAAAAAGCTTTGGGATGTCTGCATACTCTATATAATGCATGAGTTTTTGTTTTTTTTTTTGTTTTTTTTTTTTTTGGTGAGGAAGCTTAGCCCTGAGCTAACATCTGTTGCCAATCCTCCTCTTTTTGCTGAGGAAGATTGGCCCTGAGCTAGCATTCCTCTATTTTATATGTGGGATGCCTGCCACAGGATAAGGGCTTGATAAGCATTGCCTAGGTCTGCCCCTGGGATCCCAACCTGTGAACCCCAGGCCGCCAAGTGGAGCACACAAACTTAACCACTATGCCATGGGGCCAGCCCCTATAATGTGTTTTTAAATGATGTATTTTAAAGGAATTGAAACTAACGTTTCCTATTCTGCTTTCTCCCATGGGGTTCAGCCAGGTGACTTTGTACATACTTTGGGAGATGCACATATTTACCTGAATCACGTTGACCCACTGAAAATGCAGGTAAGAGTTCTGTCTGTCACCCTCTGGAGTTTGGTACCTTGCCTTGATAAAAGGTTGATTTATAGCACATTCCTCATGTAATAGGCATTCTGCTCGGTGCAGGGACAGGTGAGATGACCTGCTCCGACTGCAGAGCTTCAGGTGAGGCACGGGTGGTGGGCAGGTGGGCAGGGACGGGGCAGACACGTGCCTCAACCTCCACAGGCGCTTAATGTGACAGGTGCTGTAGGGTACTAAGTACCAGTACCAGGAAGGAAGAGCCACACTTGGACCAGGGGATTTGGGACCTTCCAGAAGTGGCATTTCAACTCGTATTTTTACTGGAAGCAGACCTTAAATACAAATGTTTTCCCTTAATTTTATGCTAAATACAGTACTTAGATCTGAACTTCCAAAAATCTGTCCATTCAAATCCATAAGTTATAGTGGCCCACAAATAATGATTTGAAATGACAATCAAGTCTGTGCTTAATGAACCCCAAGGAAAAAAATTTTGAACCAAAAACCTTTTAGCCTCTTCCAGATGAGATCCGGGTTTGGAAGTTACTGCTTTGAGGGAGCTTGGCTGCTTTTGATGAGAGGGTGACTTCAGGGCTCAACCAGATGCTTCTTTCTGGCTGTTTGCTCCAGTCTGGCTGTCTGCCAGACTGTGAGGTCGTGGCCTGTGTCCACAGCCTCCTTGCCACTGTCTGTTCATCCCAGAAATCCTGGCTTGCATCCCTGTCTGTGAATTGTCAACAGATGTCCTCTTTCCTTGCCCTTTCTGCCAGGGAGTTGGGATAGGGGTCATGGGACTCAAGTAACCATACTCAGTGCCTACTGTGAGTTACACATACAAAAGTAAGACTATGTCTCCTCCTTAATAAAAGTACCAAGAGCAATCGATTATGAGAACTTATACCTGGTGAGCATCCAGGCTCCCAACACCACCCTGTGATTCCGTGAAACACCCTTCACTTGGCACGTGTGTGAGAGAATCAGCTACGCTCCAACAGTATTGCATAACCAGGGACAAGGTACCTAGTGTTACACCCTGTAAAATACTACTTTGTTGTTAAAATACTGTGTACTTGTTTCATGAAGGGACATGGGAACAAAACTGAAGCAGGTCATACAGATATGGCAAAATAATGGTCTTTTGTTTCTAGCTTCAGCGAGAACCGAGGCCTTTCCCAAAGCTCAAAATCCTTCGAAAAGTTGAGAAAATTGATGACTTCAAGGCTGAAGACTTTCAGCTTGAAGGGTACAATCCACACCCGACTATTAAAATGGAAATGGCTGTTTAGAGTGCTTTTAAAGGAGTTGTTTGAAGGACATTGTCAGTCTTGAGGGGTTGGACTGGATGCCCTGGTGAAAGTTCTTTTTGCTCTAACCATAGAAGGAACTAGGTCAAAAACCTGTCCTTGACCTATCAGTTATTAACTTTTAAGGCTGTTGCCACTGGAAAATCTAACTCTGCTGGTTCTCTTAGTAATAAAAGGCCTTGAGTTTGGTTAACCCGAGGATGTATGAAAATGCTGAAACTATGCATAAAGTCAGGAGACTGAAAACTTACATACTCTTAACAAAAACGCATACATGCATTTCAATCCTATGTTTTTATGAAGGTGAATGAATTTCAAGAATTTTATAAGCTATTCACCCAGATTTGAGTGAGCTGAATAACATCAGTTATAATGATAATGTCTGGTTAGTGTGGTTATGAACGTTTAAAGTCATATTTGTTTTTTATATTGCTATAATAAAGTGTTCTGTGTTGATTTGTATTTTTTTAATTCTTTTTTTCTCTTATAGTCTTTTTACTTTTTTATTTTTTAAATTTTCTTTTTATTGCGGTAACATTGGTTTATAACATTATGTAAATTTCAGGTGTACATCATTATATTTCGATTTCTGTGTAGACTACATCATGTTCACCACCCAAAGACTAATTATAATCCATCACCACACACATGTGCCTAATACCCCCTTTCGCCCTCCTCCCTTCCCCCTCCCCATTTCCCCTCTGGTAACCACCAATCCAGTCTCTGTCTCTATGAGATGGTTTTTTGCTGTTTTTATCTTCTACTTATGAGTGAGATCATATGGTATTTGACTTTCTCCCTCTGACTTATTTTGCTTAGCATAATACCCTCAAGTTCCGTCCATGTTGTCACAAATGGCTGGATTTCATCATTTCTTATAGCTGAGTAGTAGTCCATTGTGTATATATACCACATCTTTATCCATTCATCCCTTGATGGGCACTTAGGTTGCTTCCAAGTCTTGGCTATTATGACTACTGCTGCAGTGAACATAGGAGTGCACGTGTCTTTACACATTTGCATTTTCATATTCTTTGGATAAATACCCAGCAGTGGAATAGCTGGATCGCATGGTAGTTCTATTCTTAATTTTTTGAGGAATCTCCATACTGTTTTCCACAGTAGCTGTACCAGTTTGCACTCCCACCAGCAATGTATGAGAGTTCCCTTCCCTCCGCATCCTTTCTAACATTTGTTGTTTCCTGTCTTGTTAATTATAGCCATTTTGACTGGAGTGAGGTGATATCTCAGAGTTTTGATTTGTGTTTCCCTGATAATTAATGAACATCTTTTCATGTGCCCGTTGGCCCTCTGTATATCTTCTTTGGAGAACTGTCTGTTCAGATCCTTTACCCATTTTTTAGTTGGGTTGTTAGTTTTTTTGTTCTTGAGATCTGTGAGTTCTTTATATATTTGGATATTAACCCCTTATCAGATATATGGTCTGCAAATATCTTCTCCCAATTGTTAGGTTGTCTTTTCGTTTTGTTGATGGTTTCCTTTGCTGTGCAGAAGCTTTTTAGTTTGATGTAGTCCCATTTGTTTATTTTTTTCTATTGTTTCCCTTGCCTGGTCAGACATGGTACTTGAAAATATGCTGCTAAGACCGATGTTGAAGAGTGTACTGCCTATGTTTTCTTCTAGGAGTTTCATGGTTTCAGGTCTTAGATTCAAGTCTTTAATCCATTTTGAGTTAATATTTGTGTATGGTGTAGGATAATGGCCTACTTTCATTCTTTGGCATGTGGCTGTCCAGTTTTCCCAACACCATTTGTTGAAGAGACTTTCCTTTTTCCATTGTATGTCCTTGGCTCCCTTGTCAAAAATTAGCTGTCCATAAATGTGTGGGTTTATTTCTGGGGGTGTGCCCTGTTGTAGTTAGTAGGCAGCAAAGCCAGGCATTATGACACTGTCTCGGTTGTGCTGAGTCCAAAAGATGCTTATAGCAGTAATGCTCCCCCACTCCTCCAGGGAAGGCTGTGTACCTTTGGATTGCTCCCAGCTGGCCACGAAGCACTATGGCTTGTGAAGTTGGGTTTTTTTCTCTCCAGAAAGGAATTTCTGCCTCTTCCACCTCAATGTGGGTTCTTTTTATCCAGTTTTCAGTTCTCCCTTAGTTGTAAATTTGTTGTGTCCATGGGAGGAGGGGAGTTCAGAATCCACCTATGCCGCCATCTTGACACCTCTCTCCTGTTTTTTTAAAAATTCTATATTGCCATTATGCTCAATTCCTGCCTAAAATAGATTTAACTGAACCCCCTAAATAAACACATTGTATTCTTGTTTGGGTACTGCTTAGAGAGTTAGCATATATTTTAGAAATGCTAACTAAACTATTTTGCCCTATTTTTCTGTGATTCATCTAATTTTAGCTGCATTTTATCATTAAAATAATGATTATTTAGGATAAAAGTTGAGTTATAAAAAAATAGTGTGAAATACCATTTGCCCTGGTTAGTTTTAGTATGGTGTGACTACTCTAATAATACACCTGGACTGTGCGAGCAAGGATGCTAAACCACTTTAGGGCTAATCACTGGACTCGTCACCTTTGTTTCATCCGGGTACCCCATGGTGTGGCAGAACTGTTTTTATTCTGCTAATTTATGACAAGCGTTAAGTAGAATAAGGAATTATTCCAACAAGCTGCTTATTTTCAGAGTACAGTTTAATGTCTGGCACCAGTGCTTAACAGAAATGTTTAAGAACATCTTCCTGGACTTGGAGTTAGTTAAATCTGAATTTGTTTAAGGATTAAGTAGGAGCAACTGTGTGTATTTGTTTAAAGAAAGAATGAAGTAACAGTTACTGAGCTGATGCCTGAGGTTAATATGACTTTCAGCTGAACTTGTTTTGACAAGTAGAATCTTGTTTTTTCCTATTTTTGTAAAACCACACCCAAAAAATTTTAAGCCTTTTCAATGAAAAAAGAAAAAGGTATTAGGGCTGAACATTTAATTCCCTTGAGCAGCAAGGAGTTTCTTCCAGACGTCACCGTCCGGATATTGGTGCTTCTGTACAGAGTCTGTCTTCATTTCTGTGGAATAACCAGCATCCTGTCAAAGACAGAAAAGGGAGCAGTGTCAACCTCCTGGAACAAAAATCATTTATTTTATATATTTCTGCTGCTCCTCAAAATGCTTTTAAACCTAAGCCAGAGGAAACTAAATTAATATTTTAAAAATGAGTTTTCAGGTTGTTTGAAATGGGGGAGAGGGACACACTTTATTGGCTACTTCGCAGGATTAGTTAACTAATCAAACTGCCTTTGATAGCTTAACCTCTGCTGTTGAAAATGAGCCCCGATTCTCTTGAACATGATGAAGATAAATGGCCCAAATAACACAAGTGCAGTCAAAGCCTTTCAGTTCACTGACTTGCTAGATGGAGCCAGGTTTGGTTTGTTTTTGCACAAGGAGTGCATATTTTTTTTTTTTTTTAGATTTTATTTATTTTTTTCCTCCCAAAGCCCCAGTAGATAGTTGTATGTCATAGCTGCACATCCTTCTAGCTGCTGCATGTGGGATGCGGCCTCAGCATGGCTGGAGAAGCGGTGCATCGGTGCACGCCTGGGATCTGAACCTGGGCCACCAGCAGCTGGAGCGCACGCACTTAACCACTAAGCCACGGGGCCGGCCCGGAGTGCACATTTTAAGGTGTCAGCTGGTAAGGAAAGGCAGGCATTAGAGAAGCCTTGTCAGGGGCAATTTCACCCCTAAGCCCTGACCTTCAGGCCTGGGGAATTTAACATTGACCAAAGAGCCATTTGTTTCTAGATATTGAAAATAAACTCTAAGGAGACAAAGCTTTGTGCTCTAGGGTCTAGCTCACAAGAACCAGTACAGGAGGGTTTGGCAGCGCTTTCTCAGGGATAAAGCCAAGCTTTCTGGCCAAGCTTACCTTAGGAGGCATGTAGGAAGCCTTCTTGATTATCACAGGATACCGGAAATGTTCGTGCAGATGGTCGACATATTCACACATCCTAGGAGGAAGGAATTGGATTGGGGCAATAATGCCTTAAGTTAGATAATTCATGTGGTGCTGTTAAATAAAGGGGCGAGTACACCATGAAGAAAGGGTGGACTGGTCAAGGCTTGGCTAGTACCACGTGTTTCTCTGGAAATCCCTCAAGCTCTGTGCCTCAGGTTCTTTTCATCTGTAAAATAATGCAATGTGGGGGCTTGGATGAAATGAACCCTGAAAGGTTTTGTGACCCCAATAGGCATCAATTTAGACTCCATAAGTATCTGGGATTATTTGGATACCTTTAGCCAAAAGTTAGATGAATGGATTAAAATCACCAAATGGGGTCCTTTCCATACATGATTTAGAAGAGCACAAGTCTTAAGATCAGACCAATCTATTCAAATTCGGTGTCAGCCACTTTCCAGTTTTGTGACTTGGGGCAAGTGACCTAACTCTGCTGCCTTACTTCAGTCATTGGTTAATGAACAGCTGTGACAGGCAGGCCGTGTGCCTGGGGATACACAAAGGAATCTGCAAGAGAGGGCCTCATGGTTTCAGTGGACATAGATGCTAAGTTATTGACTTATGATACGTGCTATGTATAATCTATGAACAGGCTACAGATGAAGAACCAGCCCCATGGGAGAGGGCAGTTGGGCCTCGAAGAATGAACAGGAAACAGGTGTTCCACACAGAATTACAACGCAGAAGTGCGGAGGTGTGACAGCGCGCGGTGTCTGTGTCTGGTGGCTGTTCTGCTTGCTGAGTGGCATTCCTGAGCAGTGAGGTCTGCTTTCAGGAGAGCAGCATGAGGCCCTTTCATCCCCTCTTGGGTGGTCACAGTGCACTGCAGCCAGGGCTGACCCTCAAGACTTGCAGGACCTTTCAAGGTTGGTGGGAACTACCCCCTTGGTCCTGCCTTCAGGAACTGAAATGAGAGGGGGCAAAAGCAGAATAATAACCTAGGAATGTTTATTTTTTATAGTTTAAACTACTTCAAGCATATTAAAAGGCAGCATCTGTCGACTGACTACCCAGCTTAAGAAGAAACCATTACTCTATAGTTGAAGCCCCTGTACACCCTTACATGTCCCATTTCTCTCTCCCAGTCCTGAATTTGGTGTTTCCCTTTCCCAGGTGTGTTTTTATGCTTTCACTATATACTCCCAGTTATCTTTCTGCAATACTACATTTCATTCCAGGAGGAAATAAAAGCATAGTAAAGCCTTATGCTTGCAGGTGCCTGGAAGGAGACTGCCTGATTTAAAGCTCACCTGGGGCATGTGGAGAAATAAGACGGAACTAAAAGATGCAGTCAGATCACGGAAGACTCCAGCGTTAGGAAGAGGAGATGGGACAGAAGCAGAGAATTTACAGAGGATGAAAGCAGAGCTTTAGAAAGTCAGAAACAGGAGCTGGTTGAGGAAAGAGTTCTGGTTTCCACCTGGTTGCAAACTATCCCCGGCCCATGTACTTAGAACACAAAGTGAGTCGGCTACCAAGAACCTACCCGTCTAAATGGAAAAGGACTCTAGTCACGGGGGGGGTCTCTGCTGTTACTGCCCCCCGTGGAGAAGTGGAAGCAAAACCAACTTGCCTTCAGTTACGGATGTGCCAGGGACAGGGTTCCTAGTGCCTCTGGTTGCCAGAGCAGAATTTTAAAAGATCTGGCCTGGAGCGAGGGACACTGCTGAAGTCAATGCCACGTTACTGACCTGTTTTTAAGGCTTGCAGAGACTGATATGAAGTCAAATATGATCAGGTGCTGTACCAATTCACAGAGGCCAACTCCACCCGCATGGGGGCAAACAGGAACTAAAATGAAGACGGATCTCTATTTAATGCCAAGTAGGGCAGAGGGAGCGGTGGAAGAGAACCCATGGTTTTTCTTATTGCCCACAGGTGATTAAAAAATTCATTAACATTTAGGAATGAGATTGCAGGATGAGAATCATCAAAGATTCCCTGATTAAACCTAAATGAGAGTTAGAAAGAAATCAAAACAGCCAAGTGCAGAGGGAACCACAGGTGTCCGATGGGCAGGGAAATGAGATGTGGTCTGCAGCTCCGCGGTGCCCTTACTTTCAAACTTTTTGGCCATCAGCAACACTGAGAGGTTCTCATTGACACTTCCCAGCCTGCAGCTGTCAATCTGGAGAAACTGCAGGGCTTTCGCCTGGAGGAGTTGCTTAAATATCACTCTATTGTGGCACTGGAAATAGAATTAAAATAAAACCAACAGAAGAGTCAGCCTTGGCCTTCAGGTCTCTACACCTGGCAACACACCAATTCCAAGTCACTCATCAGTGGCCTTCAGGAAGCCTGGACTGTATTTATTTTTTATCTTTTTTGTGAGGAAGATCAGCCCTGACTAACATCCATGCTAATCCTCCTCTTTTTGCTGAGGAAGACCGGCTCTGAGCTAACATCTGTTGCCAATCCTCCTCCTTTTTTTTCCCCAAAGCCCCAGTAGACAGTTGTATGTCACAGTTGCACGTCCTTCTAGTTGCTGTATGTGGGACGCGGCCTTAGTGTGGCCGGAGAAGCGGTGCGTTGGTGCGCACCCAGGATCCGAACCCTGGCCGCCAATAGCAGAGCGCGCGCATTTAACCGCTAAGCCATGGGGCTGGCCCCTCACTGTATTTATTCTTCAGTCTCACTTGGCATGAGGCAAGCCCTGATAGTCCGGGGGCGGGGCTCACTTCTGTACAAATTTGCTGGGGCAAGTGTCAGTCATGTAAAGTCACTCCTGCTTGCCGTCTATTAAGGAATGACTGTCATAGCGACTGGCATGAGGGAGATGAAGTGAAGCATCAGGATGAAACACAGTGACAGCAATGAGCAGGTGGCACCGATGACAAAACAGAAGCATGGCAGAACAGCATTCCTCCTTTGCTGAGAAAACCGAGAATCTGTTCCTTGGCACTGTTCTGCACCTGGGCTGAGTGCCAAAGGTTCTGGCAGGCATTTGTGCTTCGTTTATAAGCACAAAAAGAGAATGCAATAATGTTTACTCAATTTGGAAGCTAGCCTTCTTAAAACCATACAGTGCATTTTATGCCCTTGCAATAGCAACTTTAAATTACTGCCTTGTAAATTTTGATTAGATACTTTGAAAAAGATATGACCCTAGTCATATGAATTGTAGACAAGTATACAAACATTTGACTATATCTGACTCTAGTCTCTAACGAAGTAAAATGACCCATTTCTAAGATTATGAAAACTTCCCAACTCAAAATACAACAGGTGGCATAGCCCAATGTACGCCAGTGTCCTCAGTCGGTGGCCAGTGTGTACTGACCACAAGGAGTCATCACTTACCTGTTCTCCAGTGGCAACGCCAATTCCTAATGGGACCAAGGCCTATAAAATATAAGGCAACCTGATGTTATTCACCTAAGTTTCTGAACTGCAACTCCTTACTATTTAAAAATTTAGAGCTGTTTAACTATTTAATGTTAACTATTTAGAGTTGAAGAAGGAAATGTCCCTGTTACCAAGCCGGGTAGAATTTAAGGAGTGGCAGAAGGCAGTCAAGGGATGTGCACACAGGCAGGGCTGTGTGTGACTGCAGAGAAGGCCAGCGCTTGTTCCTATGCTGCCATTAGCTCCCTTCCTGGCTGTGGCTCTGCAGATTCTCTTCTGCAGCGCATGCTCCATTCTGTGCCCCTGCCAAATGGGAATGGCCCTCCTCCTCTCCCAGACGTGGGCAGTGATGTGGAACTGGGAGAAGACACGGCCACTCAGCAGTGGCTTGTTGTAGACTCGGGGTCAGGCCTCTGGCTGACTCCTTCCTGTAGGGCATCACTCCCTTCATTCCTTTTCTGTTGTCTCCTTGGTGACCCCCCCTTCAGTGGTTATTCTAGAACCCTCTCCCTTCAAGCTCAGTGGGTGGCCTTAGAGCCTACTTGACAGGTTAGATTCAGCTCATTCCTCACCTGGTGAACCCCTCACCTGGCGAGGTGCTGGAATCTTCTCCTTAACACACACTGCCGCTCTCTCTGTCCTCCCACCAGAAGCTCCCTCACTCCCCTTCCACCTGGGCTCTAGGCTGTGCCCTCCGGCCCCTCTGGGATGGCAGTGCCACATTCACTCCCCTCGGGCCTCTCGGGTTTCTCCCCAGCTTGGCTTGCTTTCCCACTGTTCAGGGAACAATATCAACGACACTGACAGCTCACAATTTCTGAGCTCTTGGTCTGCGCCGTGCAAACCCTGACTGAAGTGATTCCTCATCACAACCACTGGGACAGGAGCCACCCTTATCCCATTTCACAGAGGGGAAGCAGGCGCACAGGGCTAGTGACTGTCTGCAGATAGCATCGCTAGAACGGGGTTGCGCCAGAGCTGGAACTCTAGGCCGACTCCAGAATCAGAGGGGGCATCTGAATCACTAGAAAAGCCAACTTCCCTGCAGAAAACCCCTTAATTTAGGAACAGGGGTCCCTGATTCCACTACCTGTCCTGCCTCTAATGGGATGTGGAGGGATGTGGACGTGGGCAAGTCTCAGACCCCCTGAAACCGCAGCCTCCTCGCCTGCAGGTCAGCAGTCAGAGCAGGTGGTCCTGGAGGCGTCTCCTAGCGCTAACAGTTTATGCCTCCTGAAGCTTCTAATTTAAGTATGGTTGGTTCTTTATCTCAAAAGAAAACAGTGGGGTGAGAGTGGGGGAGAACATGGGGGAGGGGAAAGCCATTTGACTTATTCATTCTACCATTTTAAAGCATTACTGGCACTGAATAGTACCAAATTTTATTTTCTCTTTTTAAATATTTCCTGAATCTGCTGTATTCTGGCTGCCCTCTCCCTTCATCTCCCCGCCACTCCCCTAGATTACTCGGAAAGGCTCCTAGCTCCTATCCCTGCCTCCAGTTTCTTTTTGCCCATTCCTCACCTCCCCTATATCCCTGTCTCAATCCATCCTACAGGTTGCTGCCAGTCAAATCATCTTGAATCCCCATCTCTAATTCAAGAACCCACAGTGGCTCACTGTGCTTGGCTGCATCATCTGAGCAGGTGGACCCCATAATCCGGCCCCACAGGCCTGCCTTCCCCACAGCCCCCACGTGCACCTGCATCCTGTTGTGTGTCTCCAGTGCCCCCGCCTGTGTCGGCTGTCTCTGCAGCCTCCCTCTGCCTTGGTTCATCTGTCCCCCTTCCTCAGATGCCTCCTGAGGGGACGGCCTCACTCATGGAAACAAAACCTCAGAGGGTTGAAGCCCAGAAGGGCTTCTGAGGAGACTCTCCAGGCAGGCAAAGGTTCAGGTCCCTGTCTGGACAAGCTGGCAGCCACCAGCGTGAGGCTACCTTGCAAGAACCCGAGGCAAAAAGTCTTGTTTAACCACAGCCCCTCACCTAGATTCTCATTTTGGCACAATTCCTCAGAAGGTTTCAGTTCTGTTTTAAGTAGAAGGCTGTGGTCACTCCATGGATCCTGCTCATATCTCCCTCGCCTGCCTGCAGCTTAGCTCTCGTCCCACCTCCACGTGGCTGGCTCCTGCCCCGCCCAGCCCACACCCCTCTCCCTTTAGTGAACTTCTTTCTGCTGCCCTCAGCACTCAGTGCCAGCCCAGCATTCCAGCTGTCTGGTTCATGTATCTTTAGTTTTTCTCTCCAGCTTGGCTGTAAAGTGGGGAGAACAGGGCATTCCTTTGGAGGGCTTTTGGAGGGTATCTGACATAAGAAGATCATATGTTGATTTACTGAGAGAAACGGAGAAGAATTTTGAGCCCCCAATCCCATGCCCCAGGAAGACTTCACGTAGGACACATTGAGGTGTCCCTCCTAGAACTTGGAACTAAGACTGTCTTCAGAGGGAAAATTTAAGATCAACACATAATGGGGAAGAGGAGAGCAATGCCAAGTCACTTCAGGGAGAAAAAACGGTTCCAAGGCAAGCGGGACTTGACTATAAGTCCAATGAAGATACTACCCCAATGGCACAGTGTGGGGGGAAAGGGTTATCAGAAGAAAACGTAAATGGGGGGGTCAGAGGTGTGCTGGCCAGGTCTCTGCAAGCACTGCCCTGGGGGGGATGAACCTTAAGACTCAACATGTCTGGGGCAGAAGCAGGTGTATCCGCCGCGGAGACGGATGCATGGGGGAACACCTTGGTCTGATGCCATCACATATTCAAATCCCATAACCAATTCCTGCCCTGATTCCTCACTCATCCAGCAGCCTTCGGTTTCATATGGCTACTCATGGAGCTTGCTCTCGTCAGAGGATACAAAAATCTAGCACGCTGAAGTCATAGTTCTCCTTTTAAATTAACCAACTGGCCTTCTGGCTTTATATATCAGTGCCGTCAACCTGGCTTATAGGAGACTCTCCTAAGGGAGAGGATGTTTCTCAGATGTTCTGACATATCAAGTTCTTCCTAAACCTGAAAGGGGGAGAGGGTGCCCCAGTTCAGGGGGATTTGCAGAGGAAGTGCCCTGGGGTGAGGGCTTTAGGGAGACAGACAGGCAGCCTCCTCCTGCGAAGGCCTGACCTTGACATCAGCCAAGCAAGCCTTCTGAGTCATCCAGAGTCTACGCTTTTTATTTCATTCTGGGTGAGTAAAATATTTTAGTATCAATCAGATTTCTATATTTACAAAGTATGGGAACCATGCCTATTAACCTTTGGATTGCTGGTAGCCTTTCAACTTTAGCAATTTACGTTCTCTAAACAGAAATAGAGGCAGTGGATAAGCTGAAGCGAATAAAAGGACGTCAGATCTGCGATTCCAGTACTTGTCACAAGTTACAGTTATTTCAGTGACTTCATCAGGAGACATAAAAGGTAATAAGCAAAGGAATTTTAGGATCTGTCACGACCACTCTGGAAAACTAAACAAAAAGATACATGGTAACAGCAGCAGTAGCAGTTTCTCTACCTTGGAGATGGTGGCATGTCCCAGAATGTCATCAGGGGAGGTTGGCTCCTCAATCCACAGCGGCTTGAACTCAGCAAGCTTTGACATCCACTCCACGGCCTCGGGCACATCCCAGCGCTGGTTGGCATCCATCATCTGCAAGGAGATGGAGACCCTTCACAGTGACCTGCCCGGTGCTAGCCTTGCTGCAGGGCTGTGACTCCGAGGGAGGAAATGCTGCCACTCAGTGCCACCGACTGCCGAGCAAGATTCCCCAAGGGAGCCTGACATTTCCTCTGAGAGGCCCAGCACGCAGCCATAACAAAGAGAGCCAAACAGCGGCCGCCAAGACTGGAACTCTCGCCCCATATGCTGTCTTTTAGAGGAGAAGCAAATTGCTCATGGAGCCACTGTGATGGCTGTGCCTGGGCTGGGCCCAGGAGAAGTGTCACTGGCCCTGGAGCTGTGGCCCAATCTGCATTTAGATGCCACCCAAACACGTGTGTCTTGCAGAATTTGCTGTTTGTAGGAACCGTTTTATCACATTCTGAATCAGGCACAGTCAACACTGAGTTTGTTCCACAGTCATTTGTTGACTATTGCCTACTACGTAAATAACCCAAACTCTACCATTAATTAAGCACCTACCCTACTAGGCATTTTATGGATTTTGTCCCATTTCATATTTATAACAACAATGAGCAGTTCATATTAACCCATTTTACAGATAAGAAAACTGACATGCAGAGAAGTTAAGTAACTTGCCCAAGAACAATAAGTCAGGTAAACGGTAAGTTCAAATCCAGGGGTCTCTCTCCAAGGCCCTGGCTCTCTGCACACCGCAATCCTGCCTGGAGGTCAGGTGCTGGGTGTACAGACACTAAGAAAGGGCTGTTCCACCCCCAACATTATCATGCTTCAGGAAGATGGAAACAGAGACGACATCTCTGGCAGAATGTGCTACGTGGTGAGAGTTCCCTCACAGGACGCTATGAGAACCCGAGGACAGGACACCCAGAACCAATCTGTATCATAAATTATCTGGATGAGCATGACCTCATAAGACAAAAGGAGCATTAATTCGTGTATAAATAATGGGACCTCTGATCCTGGGTCAAGGACTCAAACTTCTATTTTAACTTATGAAACAAGCCTCTAAAGCTTAATAAAAACATCTTCTTGTTACTTTCTTTTATGAAAATATTTTATTCATAAGAAATGTTTTATAAAAATACATAGTCAGGAATAACTGATCCTTACATTCATCTCAGCAAAAGTTCCAGCACTTCTTCCTCACTGGCTCCCTGAGACCCGCCTACCCCATGAGCGGGTGCGAGGGATGTTAGGCAGAGAGATGAAATGATTGATGCACCGGGGCACCAGTGGGAGACCTGTTTGCTGAGGCACATCCACGCTAGCAAGAAGGAACAATCCCTAACTCTTATCTTATTTAACTAGTTCTGCAGAATAAAAAAGTTAAAAATGATCAGCCCCGAGTTTTTTTTTTTTTTTTTTTTGAAGAGTTTGCCTACTGCAAAACCACAAAGCTGTACTTCCTCTGACACTCAGTTTTAAAATTCCCAACGTTCTTTAATCCTTGCTTGAAATGAGTTGTACTTGGGCCCTGGGCAAAGGCTTCATGCGAGGCTGCCCACTGCTCAATGGTAGGAGAGGATATTTACCAGAATCTTCTCGGGTCCGATCATGTCTCTGATGAGTCGGCATCTGCGGATGTCATCCTGGAGATCAGCACCGACTTTTACCTTGAACCTGCACAATATGTTTGGTTTGGTTTAGATCTGTCCGGACTTGGCAAAGACACCTGGACTTTCTGCAGAAGTGACCATCTGTGCCACTAATTCACAGATCACATTTTCTGGTGACCTCTTGCTCTCTCCCACTCAATCTTCAGACAAGCCACTTGAAAATAACCCTGCAAATGATATCTCTTTACTCGGTATCAGGGTGATAACTCTAAATTACCTGCTGACCTGAAGTTAAGGAGCCAGAGAGAGCAGTCAGATCTTTAATAACATTAACTCACATTTTGCCATGCCATTAAAAGTAATGAAGTACGAAAAAGCTGCAAACAGAATTGAAGAGAAAAGCAGGGCTGGGAAGGGGAGCCAAGTGAGCCATCCTGTTACATCCTGGACGTGAAGAGCATGATTGATAAAACATCTCCAACTGCCTGGGCCTTCACTAGAGGGGTTCATCCCAATCAACTCAGTGAGAAGTCAGCCACAGGGACCCACAGTGCAGGGCCTGAGGCTGGGCAGTAAAGGACTTGGTCACGTGACTGAGGAGCAGCTGGGGTCTCCTCCACCTCACAGCTGGCCACGTGCAGGGAGCTCCCTTCATCTGTTTTAACGCCCACTATTCTTCAGACCAGGCCTCCTCATCGTACCCCGTGACCCGCTTGCCTCGCCCCTCACTCAGGGACGGCCTGAGGTCCTCCCTCCACTGTGCACAATGCCCACCCTCTGTGCCAACAGAAGCCCTGCTCTCCCACACACTCAGGCATCCGCTGCGTTCTCTGACCTGCGCTCAGCACTAAACACACCACAGAAGACACTTCTATCCCACGTGGGAGCTTCAGCTGACTACAGCCTCTGGATGCTGGGCTTCCTATGCTGGGAGGCCTACAAAATCTCTCCTCAGCTTCTCTGACTCAACAGACATGACTGCTCCAGCCTCTCCTGTGTATGTGGAGAGAGGGAAGGTGCTGGCACTTACTGAGCACCTGCTATGAATCCTGACTGTGCTGGTCCTTTTCAGATACAGCAACTTTGAGGAGAACTATGAGTTAATATCATTCCCATTGTGTAGAGAGAAAATGAGGCTCAGAGAGGTTAAGCAATTTGTCCATGATCACACAGCAAGTACTTGCACAGGATGAGGGAAAAGGGCAAGATGTTGATTCCAAATCCATCACATCCCAAGCCTCTTTCCACTGCTTCATGCTGCCTCCTTCAAGTTCTCACTCCCCCACCCTTTATTAGCCGAGGAGTTAATAAGAATTCAGTGCCTCTCAAACTTCAGTGTGCACACCCGTCACCCAGGGATCTTGTTAAAATGCAGATCCCGATGCAGCAGGCCTGGGCAGAAGCCTGAGATTCTGCATTTCTGATGAGCACCCAGCAGATGCTGATGCGCCTGCTCCACAGACCACACTCTGAGCAGCAGGAGGCTGGGTGGCCAGCCTGAGTGAGTCATGTAGAAAACCTGGTGATGCCACCTTGAGCTGCACAATGGACTCACAGTGACCAGATCAAGAGATGATGTCCCTCTGTGTCCTGCACTGCATCAGGATTCGGGCCCACTGACAAGCACAATCTATCCCGAGGAAGACCCTTGGATGCCCAGGGGTCCATAGCACACAGGAGAGAGACAGGAGAGAAGTGCAGATGATTAGTCTGGAGACAGATGCCCGGGGGAAAGGGAAGGGCTGTCACCCGAGGGCAAGAGGAGGAGCTTGGCTCTTGGGAACTCCGTGGAGAACTGGGACCAGCAGCTGAAGTCATAGGGAAGGACAGGGTTCAGTACCCTGAAGCTCTCTCTGACCCTTAGAGACTCCAACACTGCAAAGTGCCTTACAGAGCGAAGCTCGCTGCCTCTGGAGGTTTTCAAGTAGAAGCGGAATCAAAGCTTGTTACTGAGGTAAAGAGTAGATTTCTATTCTAGATTGGTGCTTGAAATCGATGATCTCCAAGGTGTCTTTCAACTCTGACGCTCTAGGATTCCAATGAGGACTCACATCTCGTCTTTAGAGAAAGCCTGGCCTAGGATGAAACGTCTCTTATGCGTCCCTACATGCCAGGCTGCTCCTGGACGAACCCTGGTCTCCCTGGTGCCTTCTGATCCTGGCTCCTCTCCACTGCCGAGTCTCTCCTGCTGCCAACTGGGAGTCAAGGTCATTATCACACACATACAAGTACGTTACCTGGTCCAGCCATCCTTCAGAGCCTCGGTGCAGAGCTGTGGGGAGAGGAGCACAGCCATCAGCACACTCTGAGAAGCTCTCCTTGGTCTAATGAGCACCTCAGTTGTCTGATCGGAGACGCAAATGCTATGGCTGTAGCAGGAACCAGAAGAACAACCAAGTGTTGCTGAATGAGGAGAAGAAACAGCTTAGCCAACAGAGCATAACTCTTTGTACTTGTAGGGTGACCTTCTTCTCTCCTCATCTCTATGGAAACCATTTCCTTAGTAGTCACAACATTCCTGGAAGCAAAGTGGAGCATTTATATCCCTCTTTTTAAAGCTAGGATGTTCTGTGGCTCCACAGAACTAATGGATGTAGTAGTAGCAAACAGAAGCTAGTCTCTCCCTCTCGCTTTCTCTCAGCTGTGAGTATGGTACAAGGAGAAACAGCAGGAAGTCAACCACGCACTGATAGCATGCCACTTGCCAGCCGCTGTGCTGTGAGCATTACACAACTTACAGCATTTATCTGAATCCTCAAAACCACCACAAGATAGGAATTATTTCCCCATTTCACAGTGAGGAAACTGAGACTCAGCACGGTTCGGCGTAACATTGTGCAATGTGCTGCCACCTCTGCCTGGGAATCAAATCCTAGGCTGTCACCTTCCAGAACCCAAGCTGTGACTCACTAGGTCAGAGTCCCATGTCCACAATGTGAATGGCTTTACTTTTGTTCGTGTGTAAGGACTTCCAGAAGAGACCTTGAATCCATAATGATTTAGAAAGGCTAACAAGAAAATATTAAATCTTGTCCAGAAAGCCAGGAATATAAAACCTGTCTACAAAACCAGTTTCAAACACCCACCTGCTTCAGCATGTCATCCGAGTACCCCAGCCAGGCACACGATGTGGTGTAGGCAGGGTAGCCATGCATCAGCATTTGCTCTTCTGTGGAAACACAACGCTCATCAACATTTTTCACATTTCAGGGACCTTCAGAATTAGAATCGCCCGTAGCTCAGCTGCTGCCCATGGAGAATCCAGCTGTTCTCCTCTGACCCTGCCCTTCACATGCACCCAGCCCCTGGCCCAGCCTTTAGGTCACATTCAGGATCATGCAAATTCCGAGGACGTCAAACCTTGGGGGTCAGGATACCCTCTTGGACTGCCCCACTAGCCAGGGCCCTCCTGTGTTCTGTGGCGTAACCCTAAAGCCAAACTTCCTTTTAGCTGCAGCTGAAGTGAACTCTGAAGGAAGAGGTCGCATCCAGGAGGCTTCTCCATCCAGACTCAACTGTCTGTCAGAGGGCCTGGCTGCTGGGCACGGGGCATCTGGGGCACAATGTGAACCCCCACAGGACAGGGACACTCAAAACTGGACAATGATCACAAAAATAATGAAGGAAATTTCCTCACAACCCACCTCTTTCTTTTTTACCAACTTGACCTTTCTGCAGTATTTCTGGAAAAAATAAAAGGCTTTATCACTCTTTTAGACAACAAAGCATGCCACTACGTTGTTTACACACCAGCATGTACCAGAGAGCTTCCGGTTCCATCACTGGACTGTGACTCACCAAAGGCTTCCTCCTCAGTCAGGACATCGGTGATGTATCTGAAATCTATGCAGGATAACAGCGTCCTGGGGTCCTGGCAGCATGACAGGAGGGGGAAAGGCCCACATCAGCTCACAGGCGGACTACGTTTCTAAGGATCTGCTTACACTGCTACATGGGGCTTATCCTTTCCGGGAAAGGACCGTTGAGATTTGTGTCAAACTGTTTGATTCTCTCCTTCTTCTGCGCAGAGTCCTTCAGAGGGTCATCGCTGCCTCCCAAGAAGTCCTCAGGGCCTCATGCTCTGACTCCATGCTCCCTCCCTGCCCCTCCCTTCCCTTGAAACCTAGGCTCCTACAACCATTCCAACATGGTTCCGGAAAGAGGCCCCGGCGTGAGGCAAGCACTTGGTGCAAGTTAAATGGATAAGTGAGCAGCTAGTGTCCGCTGTACTTCATTGCTCCACACTTCAGGGCTGGCCAGCAGCAAGGCAGCAAACTCTGAGAGGAGGAATGCGACACTGGAGCTGCTTAGCGGGGGAGGAAAGGAGGCTGGTCTCAGAGCCAGGCCACCCAGGGTCAACCCTGTGCCCACTGTTTATTAGCAGCGTGACCTTGGGCAATTTCCTCTCCTGTCAAATTGGGACAATTCACTTCACTGACAGGAAGGGAGCGGATTCATACCTGCCAGTGCCCAGCACTCACCCTGGATAATCACTGGCTGTGCCCTTCCTGCCCCACGCTCAGTGATCTGGCCACACGGGGAAGGCTGACATTCTCGGCTGGGCCCCTGGCTGAGACCTCTGCCCACCCCAATCTAACAGTCAGTTGGGAGGCAACCTGTAACTCCACTCCCGCTCAGGTTTTATCGTGTCCAGTACTGCTCCATGGTAACTGAGCAAGATCGAAAGAGCTCTTTCAGCACTGAGCCCCTGCGTCTTAGGAGCACTGGCACTAAACAGGGAACAGGATCCAAAAGAAGGCAAAGTCCACAGGTGGGATTTCAGTCACCTTCCCAGTGGCCCTCAAATGATTTGGCTTTGGTGGCCATCTCCTACACTCCTCTGAAAGGCTAACCTTGAGCCTGAAGGTGGCTCAAGAGGTCCATGTCCTTCCCCGTCAGACGTTGCCCCCATGCCGCCCACAACTACGTCAGAGAGACAGTGTGATGTCTTCCTGTCTTCACTTCCCTCCAGACGAGGGACATCTGCTGGTGAACAGTCTTCAAGGCCACGGTGTTCTTTGTTTTTCCTTAGTTGTGATGCCAAATAATAACAAGGGCCTTCAATTGCTGACCACCAGATTTTTAGGACCATCCAAGGCATCACCCTGAGGCAGCTGATGCTCAGAGAGGTTAAGTGGCACGCCCAAGGTCACTCAGCCAGTGAGTGGTGAAGCCTGGGTTCAAAGCCAGGTCTGCCTGGGTCTGAAGTTAACTTGCCCAGAGTTTTTCCTCGTCAGCAGCCAGCTGCTCATCTCTGCTATAAACAGGTCAAGGAGAAAGGAAGCAGTGAGGTGCGTATCTTTAGAATCCAGTGTTTGGCTCCTTCCCCGCTGGAGTTGCAGAGCGGAGACTACACAGTCTGATCTGTCATTTGCTTTTGGAGTCAAAGTGACCAGATGATATCTTAATACTAACATCTTGCTCTTCAGTGTTTGTGAAGCACTTTTCTTATTTGGTCTTTAAACCAATTCTATGAGGTTCCTGGAGAAGTTATAACTGTCCCCTTTGGAGAATTTGTACTACATGGGAAGGCTCGGCAGTGGGGGAGGCAGACCCAAAACTCAGACCACCCTGCCTGCACGAGCACAGCTATCTGTGGCTTCAAGTATCAGAAAAAGAATATTATATTGTACTGGTTTTTTCCTTTATCATCACTACAGTGACCCACAGACAGTCCTGAACATACTTCCCGATTATCAAAAGGCAAGTAATCCATGAAATCCGTTTCACTTACAGAAACAATCACAATTTTAAAGAATTTACTTACCATGTCAACAAGTAACTTCCACAGAGGCTTGAAGACAAAAAAGAAAAGATTTGGAAAACACATGTGTAAAGTACCATCTGTTTCCTGACAGCTGCACCAGCAGCAAACTATCAGACCTGCCCGCCCCCGCCCCAGCTCTAATGCTGTCTCCCACCCCTCACTTTTGCTGCCCCCCTTCTTTCTCAGCCCTTTCTAACCTACTCTGACAATTTCCTAACTACTGCCAATATCTCTCAGTGGAGAAAAAAATCAAACAGTTCTCTTTATTTCCTTTTGGGGGCCTGCTGTGTATTTGTCTTTTGTCCTTAGAAGGCTGCTCACAGAGGAAGTGCTCACTGCTCTGCCATGGCTGTACTATTCCAGGCCCCGGCGCGCTCCTGAGACGACTCACCTTGCCCTCCTGCTTTGCCCACAGGTCCCACACAGCATTGAGGACGGCCGCCGTAGCCAGATGCACAGCACCTTTCTCAGGACCGATCTGGTTAGGAAGCAAAACACACCAGCGCTTCTTAGAAATGAAGAAGATATGTAGGTCTCCTAGCCAGAGACGCATTTCAAGAATTAAAGGGCAGCGATGGAAACTCACTTAGATGTTAAGCTTTTTTTTTTTTTTTTTTTTGTGAGGCAGATCAGCTCTGCTAACATCCATGCCAATCCTCTTCTTTTTGCTGAGGAAGACTGGCCCTGGGCTAACATCTGTGCCCGTCTTCCTCCACTTTATATGGGACACTGCCACAGCATGGCCTGACAAGAGGTGCATCAGTGTGCGCCCGGGATCTGAACCCCGGCCGCCAGCAGTGGAGCACACGCCCTTAACCGCTATGCCACGGGGCTGACCCCATGTTGAGCTTTTTTTTTTTTTTTTTTTTTGATAGTTTCTAACCTACAGAAGAGTTGCAAGAATAGTACAAAGAACTCCCGTATATTTCCCCTCTCTCTATCTCTCTCTCTCTATGTACACATATACACAGATAAATAAAATATGATGTATATAATATAAATAAAATTTATTTTACTGAACCATTTGAGAGTGACTTGCAGATATCATGCTCCTTTAAGCCTAAATACTTCAGAGCGTAGTTCCCCAAAACAAGGCCATTCTCTTACATACCCACAGTACAATGATCAAATTCAGGGAATATAACAATGACAGAATACTACTGCCTATGAAGATAGTCCATAATCAAATTTCACCAATTGTCCCGATCATGTACTTTATTTTACTGACATATTGCATTTAGTTTTCATGTCTCTTGAGTCTCTTCTTTTTTTTTTTTTTTTTTGGTGAGGAAGATTGGCCATGAGCTAATATCCATTGCCAATCTTCTTTTTGCTGAGGAAGATTGGCCCTGGGCTAACATCTGTGCCCATCTTCCTCCATTTTACACGCGGGTTACCACAACAGCATGGCTTGATGAGCAACACATAGGTCCGGGCACCTGGGATCCGAACCTGCAAACCCTGCGCCGCCAAATCAGAGCGCACAAACTTAACCACTACGCCACTGGGCTGGCCCCATTGAGTCTCTTTTTATCTGGAACAATTATTCTTTTTTCTTTTTGTGTGTTTTTTTTTGAGGAAGATTAGCTCTGAGCTGACATCCATTGCCAATCCTCCTCTTTTTGCTGAAGAAGATTGGCCCTGGGCTAACATCTGTGCCCATCTTCCTCTACTTAAATGGGACGCTGCCACAGCATGGCTTGATAAGCGGTGCATAGGTCCATGCCTGGGATCCGTATCTGTGAACCCCAGGCCCCTGAAGCAGAGCACTCGAACTTAACCGCTATGCCACTGGGCCGGCCCTCTTTTTCTTTTTTTTAAAATGATATCAACATTTTTAAAGAATACAGGCGAGTTGACTTGTACAGTGTTCCTCAATGTGGGTTGGTCTGGGGTTCCTTCATGATTAGACTCAGGTTATCATTTTTGCCACAAAGACTATGGAACTGATGTTGGCATTTTGTTTTTTTGTTAGGGCTATTATCGTTTAGCACCTGGGTAAGTCAGTGTCCATTAGTCTTCTTCACTGTGGATTACTATTTTCCCTTTTTAAGTAAGGAGATTAATACTGCCCCCAAATTTTAGCATCTATTGATGATTCTCACCTCAATCATTTATAGCTAAGATGGTTGCAACATGGTGATTTTCTAATGTTATCATTCCTTTTATATTAGTTTGTATTCTACTGTAATGACAAGATTTCCCTTGTTTCTTTACTATCTGAATGGACTCATGGATTCTTATGTTATTCAAGGAGTTATACCATTACTACCATATTTATTTTGATGCTTGAAATGTCGCAGATTCAGCCAGTGGGAGCTTCTTCAAGTGGGCACCTTTAAAAGCAAGTTTAACTTGCTCTGCAGAAAGTTAAAAATGAAATCTGAGGCAGTGTGCATTCTCTTGTGCCTTTCTTTGTGCACAGACAGGAGACTGAACAGAATTGGGAAAAGACAGAGCTGGTGTCAGGAGACAAGGGCAAGTCCTGGTTATTGGATTGCTCTTACTGTGACAGAACCTTTCTCTAGAATCTCACTGTTTTCATGCCTTGAACATAGGGTTCAAAGGCAGACCTGTACACATAAAAGGTGCTCGGGTTTCTATCTTTTCAACCTCTACTTTTCTGTTTCTGTCCCTAATATCCTCCTCCCACAACTCCAATACTACTCACATTCTCTCTCCCTAAAAACGGTTGCCCATTCAGCACTTTATCCTCTAGAGTCTAGACCAGTTCTTCCCATTCAGGGAGCGGAGATGAGGTCCACAAGGGCAAAGCCAGCTCTCGGGATCCAAATACGCCCAGATTCAAGTCTTACAGAAAGGAATCGGTTACCTCAAAACACTGACTGTCTAAATAGTTCAAGCCCTAATTTATTTGAATAAAATGTTTTACCTTCAAACTGTAAGCCCGTCTCTATTTTCACATTTGTTCAATCAAAAGACATCTTAGACCTTAGTAACATTATTTGTGGAAACACTTTATGAAATAGGCCGCTTACCCATCTGAGCTGCCCGTCACTCGTGAGCTGCCTGTAGAAGCCTCTGAAGTCACCAACAATGTCCCTGAGGTCCTTGCTAAGCACATGGTGGGCCAGGGCATTCACAGCACAGACAACTAGTAAAAGAGGATTTCATTCTTGGGCATGTTTTGGTATAAATCAAGGCATGCAAGCACCACAGACAAACTAATTGCATTTTGTGAAAATAATTTTAAATACAAAGGTGTATGCTTTAAAAATATGTCTTCTGTGGTCGTCTTAAGTAATATCACACAAGTAGAATAGCTGTTAATCTGGAGACTGAGCTTAATTTCTGAATAGAGCAAACACATTTTGATTGGTTGCCATGTGAAAAACAGATTGTAGATCTGAAAGTTTAAATCATGTTTCCAAATTATTTTCTGGTTCACTTTGTAAAGTGTCTGGACAGTCAGATTCAAAACGAAACCTTGCCAGTTCATTGTTCCAAAGGAATGAGAAGACTGACTTACAGAATTAAAAAAAAAAAAGGGCCTTTTCATTCTTGTCAAGTACAGTCATGTGTCGCTTAACAAAGGGGATACATTCTGCGAAATGCGTTGTTAGGTGATTTCGTCCTTGTGCGAACATCACAGAGTGTACTTACACAAACCTAGATGGCATAGCCTATTACCCACCTAGGCTATGTGGTACTAATCTTATGGGACCACTGTCGTATACGCTGTCTGTTGTTGACCACAACGTCACTATGTGGCATATGACTGTATAGGAAATATCTTCAATTCACAACATAACACACTATTAAAGACGAGATGAATTTGCAATTAGCCTAATACATGTTAAATGTTAAAGTACATGAAAACACTTTTCATAAACATTAAGTTTCTTACCATTGACTTACTTATGATATACTACATTTTTCATAAGTAATTTGAAGGTTAAACTTAATTTGGGTCAGCATTACCATCAATTATTTATTTTTGGTGTTTTACTTAAAAAGGCTTTATAGTGTTATTTCAGATGAAGAATAAGTAAAGTAGCAAATTGAATGAGAAAGACCCTTCTATCCTTTGCTCAGTCCATAAAACACTCAGTCTATGTGTAAATGGCTGAAATAATCAAATCATCAACTTAGCCCCAAAGCAATTAATTTATTAGAAAAAATTTTGATAAACTTATTGTTTGGTGTTGCCATTGCTTCAATATTAAAATTATCAAGTCATTTAATAGGATGGTTGTAGAGGCGCAGTTTTCCTATCAATCATTTTCTAAGAGAAAGACCTTTGGAAGTATTTGAAACACGCACTTAGAACATGCCTGGCCTCTGTGTGAACCAGCTCTCAGATGATTGTGCACTCACTCTCACACGGAGCATTTAGGGCTGAACCAACCATTCATGTTCTCTAGGGCCTTTGTTAATGGGATATGGAATCATTCCAGTTCAGATATTCATTCCCTGGAATTGTGAGAAGACAGGCTCCTCCTCACTCCTTGACGGCTGGTGCTCTTGGATTAAAGACATCTGAAGAGTAAGTCAGCAACTCAGAGACAGGCATATCATTATCTACCTCAAACCTCCGTCTCACTGATGAGATGGCTGCTAGAAATCACTGACTGAAGCACACCTCTGGTTTGCGTCACAATGGCAAAACGCATTTAACAAAAGTTAAGGATGATCTCATCTTTTACAGCTCTAAGAGGTGCACAAGATGAACAGATTCATCTATAGTGTGTGGATTTTCCTTGCTCAAACGGAGGCCACTGCACGAAGTTAACTAAAATTTGGTGCGTTTGATAGAGATTTGGGTTGTGGTGGTCTGCCTCAGCATGAAGAATAGTCCACTTCTGGTTTGCATGTTTGCTGTGATGGGTGGGAAATTCATCTGGGAAAAATTGGCCCTTGAAGGCAGCTTCTTGCTGCCTAAACCCAAGGGTTTTCTCCTGTGATTACATCTGCCCAGGACTCAATTCTGGGACCCCCCAGCACAGGAAAGACAAGTCAGTAAAGCTTATGGATGACCATGGGTGTCTGAGCTCCAGGGCTGGCGTGAACACTTAAGGCTGTTTTTGGTCTCTAAAAATTCTTCTTTTTTCATCTCTTTCTTTTTCTTTTCCTACTTAAAAACAACAACAACAAAACACTGTATCAGTCCATGCTATACATTAAAAAAGCAACTGTAACCCTCCCTCTCTCTCTCTCTCCCACACACACACACACACACACACACACACACACACAAGCACTTTCTTCACGGTAATGAAGAAAGCACTATTTTCTTTCTCTTTTTTTTTGGATCATAAAAGAACAATTAGGTAAGCAAGTTGATAAAGGCTGCAGGAGAACTGTGATGAGCTAATGGAATTTTTTCATCTTTAATGTGAATGCTTCGTGACACATTCGTGAGACTGCAGTGAGTCACCTGAATATGCAGCAAGGTTAAAGGTAAAATGGGTTCTGTCATGTTGTGGTCTGAAACAGACAGAAGCCAACAACATCACCACACAAGAGCCATTTATTAAAGTCATAAAGAGATGTAAATCGATTTACCCCTGCCCCAGACATGCACCAGGACAGCTGGGTGGGAATGGGAATGGAGGAGGGAGAGATCAGCGAAGGCCCTACAGCCCTGAACTCAGTGACCATCTGAGAGGAGCCTCGGCCTGTCTTAGAAGCACACGACGTGCGCAGGCTCCCTCCACTGCGGCTCCAGTGGGCAGAGTTCAAAGTCTTAATTGTTAACAGAGAGTGGTTCCAGTGGCTTGTCCCATAACATGTTGTAGGCTTGCTGAGTTTTACACACCTTTGCAGCCACCCTGTATGGTTTGCAGTGTGGAGAAAGCAGCTTCATAAACTGCTCAACTTACACCAGAGACCCTTAAAGTAGCAGGAGAAGCTGACACAGCTCACAGACCTATGGCGTTAGTGGGAACTGCCTCGGCAAATGGCAGCAGCAAATCATTAACTTAACCGGGAGGGAGGTGGGGAATCACAGCCAGGCTCCTCCTTTGGCCTGGCAGATTCCTGGTTACCCTTGAGTCCTGTCTCAAAGCCTTACCTCTGCCATCCCTGACCCTCCTGGACAACGGACTAACCCTCTCTCTGCGTACCTTGTACTCACTTAAAAAAAATTAGTCCTTCTCACACTGCACTACCGTTTCTTCTGCGTCCGTCTCCCTGAGACGTGTGTGCCCTCCTTCTCCTTGTGTGTGGGACCCGGTCTCCTTTCTCTCTCTCTTTCTACAGGCTTTTCTCCAGCACCGGATAGACAGGAGCACTCGAGAGAGGTCTGCTGAAGAACAGGCTGACGGCGTGACCCAACGCCAGCCCTCTGAGGAGCTGGAACAGCTTGGTGGCGTCCACTGAAAGTTCAAGAAAGGTTCCCTCATCCTTCACACAGACACAGACAGACACACAGACATACACCCCCCACCTTTTTTTTAAGGAACATTGGCCCTGAGCTAACATCTGCCAATCCTCCTCTTTTTGCTGAGGAAGACTGGCCCTGGGCTAACATCCATGCCCATCTTCCTCTACGTTATATGGGACGCCGCCACAGCATGGCCTGACAAGCGGTGCGTCAGTGCGCGCCCAGGATCCGAACCGGCGAACCCCGGGCCACTGCAGCGGAGCGCGCGCACTTAACCGCTTGCGCCACCGGGCCGGCCTCCACACACATCCCTTTTATCTGCTCAACAATATTAAAATCTTTCAGCAGGGCACGACTTTTATTCCACAACTAAGAGAAAGCTAACAGTGCAATATTCATGGGAGGGCCAGCATGTCGCCACGGAAGTCAGAGAAACTGTTTCCTCCCCTCCTGGACCCTCTGTCGTCAGCCTATGATAATTTGGCTTCAGCCCCTAATGATCCATTGAAATGGCTGATCTGGCCAATGTCATCTTTTTGTACTTCTTGAATTTTGTAACATGTGCACGGATTATGCATTTAAAACAAATACTTCGTATTTATTAAATGTTCTGGAGAGAAGGCACTTTGGGCAGTCAGGAGGTTCTGCATGCCTGGCCCAGCGGCTGTCTGGGCCTCGGTTTCCTTCTCTAAAAATGAGGGGGCTCAAGCTCTCATCCAGCCATGAGATAAGGACTTACTCACGGCTCGATGTGCAGCCTACACAACCTGCTCTTCCCTGAGGAGAGCTCTAAAACCGGGCAGGGCCAAAGGCCTTTTCTGCCATGAAGAGCAGTGAACTTGTAATGACTCGGTGTGAGATATTTTGAAAAGCAAGTGGACCCCCTGTGCACTTCACAGTAAGCCTTGCTACGTGAGCACACGTCTGCCCCCTCACGTCCCCTGGTCACGTGCTTAGTTTAGGTCCTCAAAGCTCTGCAGAGAAATGGTCTGAGACTCGAGGATTTTCCTGCAGTCTACTGATGACTATAAGGTGAGAGGCCAAATTCTGCCACTTTTTAATTTCTCCCAATGACATAAATAATAAACCATAAAATGTCGTTTGTACTTACTTCAAGAAGTAAATACAGAGAAAAATAAGGTCAGAACTGGAATCTAAATGAAAATTAAGCCTTCTGGAATCTTAAAGAGAATATTCAACTCACCAACTTCAGTGCCTCTTCCCAGAGTGAAGGTAATTCCGTACCCCTTGAGTCCGTCTCCCACATCGGTCTCTAAGATGACATAGGCAGCCGAGTAGTCGGGGTCTGTGTGCTGTGGAAAAACGTCCCCCACCCAAACAACGCGAATGTGAGAAACCCGAAAATAAACATGAGAATGGCATCATGTAATTACAGGACATGCAGCGGGGATATGCAGGAAGAGCTCCAAGCTGACGGAACCCATGATGTACCCCAAAGAAAACAGGAGCTCTGAGTGGATGCAAGGAACGTCCTCCTGAAGGAGTCAAACGATTTTAACAAGTGCCCTGCACACATTTTTAATGCCAGTTCGCAATCAAGTCTCCTCTGCTGTCTGCTCAATTTTAAACCCAGGAGTTTCGCCCACAGCTATCTCCGTCAGCTCTTTGAACAGAGTTACATACACAAGCAGCTTCAAACTGAACATGCTAAGGTTTCAGAAAGCTCTCCTGTAGAATCGGACTCTCCACTGCAGTTTATAGCAAGGCTGCAAAGACAACAGCACACATTCAGAGATCACTGGGGGGGATCGAAGAATTACAACTTCAAGACAAATGAACCCATTTTTTGTTTTGTTGCTTTTTTTAGCTTTCTACTATCAAACAGTATTTGATAATAAGTGTTGACTGTCTGACTATTATGAAACTCAACACTACTTGTTGATATGGGGAACGAAGAAGTGAAAAAACAAGTCTGTCTCTAGAAATTTCTTACACAATGGGGAGAAAGTGCCAACACACAAGAACCAAGTGAGAACGATCGGTAAGACAGTACAAGGTCACGTGCTGACGTGTGGTCAGTCGAAGTACCAAGAAGTTGAAGGGAGAGGAGCACAGAGGAAGCGAGGGACTAGGACACGCGGACGGGCAGAGGGGCAGGTGAAGGGACGCAGGCAAGAGAGAGCAATAGGACACCGGAGGCTTGTGAGACGGAAGCGGAAGGCCCGTCAGGACACTGGCTTGCAAGTGAATGAAGACGAGATTGGATGGGAGGTGTGGGGGCAGATAATAGAGACCCCAAAAAGCCAGGCAGAAGATCTGAATGTGTTAATAAGGAATGGAGGATGCAACTATGGAAGACTTTTGCATAGGGCTATGACAATTTATTACTATTGTTGTTGTGATTATATACTATTTATTGTTCTGGGAACACTATTTTAAGAGCTTTACATGATTGAGTTTAATCCTCACAATATTATAAAGTAGGTGCTAGCATCCCTATCTTACAGATGAGGAAACTGAGTTTCAAGAGGCAGAATTTAAATCCCTGGGTTCAGGGCCAGCCCTGTGGCTTAGTGGTTAAGTGCGCGTGCTCTGCTACTGGCGGCCTGGGTTGGGATCCCGGGTGCGCACCGACGCACCGCTTCTCCGGCCATGCTGAGGCTGCGTCCCACATACAGCAACTAGAAGGATGTGCAACTATGACATACGACTACCTACTGGGGCTTTGGGGGGAGGGGAAAGGAGGAGGATTGGTGATAGATGTCAGCTCAGAGCCAGTCTTCCTCAGGAAAAAGAGGAGGATTAGCATGGATGTTAGCTCAGGGCTGATCTTCCTCGCGCGCGCGCGCACACACACACACACAAACAAATCCCTGGGTTCAGGGAAGGGGAGGAGGTGCACATGACGGATGAGAGGGCTGTGTCTAGCGTTGAAGCCCAGCGGGGGTTCGGCGTGATGTGTCGCTGAGCACCAGCTGGGTAGCGGAGATTGCGCAGGTCACTGAGGGGCCACAGACATGTCTGCCCTTGAGAAAGTTACGGTTTAGAAGCCATGGCTACAGAAACTCTAATAATATGAGGCAGAACACGGCCAGACTCTGAGAGAGATGCAAATGACGAAAGCCAGGCAGAGAGTGCTATTAGCTGAATGCACTGGAACCTGGAGGCGGCTTTACGGTGAAAATAGACTCTGACCTGGTCGGTTGAGGACAGGGAGCTTTGCAGCAGTGAGGAAGAGGCATGAAGGATCTGGGAGGGAAGAACATCTTAGATGAGGTAACAGTGGCAGTGAAGGCAGTGAAGGGCCAGAAAAGGCAAAGACTGGAGCACAGTCAAGGGTTGGTGACCATCCTGGTTTAGCCACTGGGTTCCTGAGGGGGAAGAGGGGACACAAGGCTCAGAGGGAGACTCCAAGAATTAAAGACCCGTGGACAGTTTCTGGGTTACGTGGAGAGGAAGCAATGGAAAAAGGAAACCTTTCACTGAAGCCTTCTGCCAGGTTCAAAAGGAGGAGTTGAGCCGAAAGTGACCTGAAGCTTTTGAGTCCTTGTGACTGGCAGAATGATCCTGGAAGGATCAGGAGGGCGAGTGGGGCAGGGTATACAAGACAATGAGCTCGGGTTCCGATAGAAGGTGTTTAGCATGAAGGTGAAAAATCCGACAAGAAGTGTCCGGATGGCAGCTGGACTTGAGGTGAGAGAGAAGATCCAGAAATGGGATCTGGGAGTCTTTGGCATAAAAGTGGGCACTGAAACTGTGAACATGGAGGGTGTCTTAATGGGAGCGTGTAATGAGACAGGAGAGATGTTGAGGCCTGAGTCTTGGAGAGGGAAGAAGGGGGTCAGTATAAGAAGAAGGAGCAGCCAGAAGGGCAGGCAGCCAGAGGGACAGATAGATGGCAGGAAGAGGAGACAGCAGACAGCATGAAATGTAGACTGTGAAAAGGACACTGGAAGCAGAAATAACGAGGGCAATTCCAAGAGAAGGAAGGAGACAGAAGTCGACTTCAGATTAAGGAGGAAGTAGTTGTAAAGGATGGAGGCAACAGGCATGGACCAGTAATTTAGCATTTGGTGGGGAAGGCGCAGAAACAGAAGGAGGTAGAGAGGTGTTAGGGTCAAGGAGAGACTATTCCCACTATTCCCACTATTCCCAAGTGGGAAGCCCTGTCCATGTGGGATGGAGAAGGAACCACTGGAAAAGAAGAGACTGAAGATGAAAATGCTGGAGATGGAGGGGATAAGAACAGGGCCCCGGCTGTCAAGAAGGGCGGGAATGGGGACACAGGAGAATAGATTAGTTTTGGAGCAGGACACGACTTACAGAATAAAGGGAAAGATGAAGAGGGTTGGTTTGGAGACTGATGTGCAGAGATGGGGCCAAGGGAGCATTTGTCTTCAGTCTCCTCACTGACGTAGCAGGCAACATCTTCTAACTCCTGGGGGTGCAGGACTGGGGGCCAGAGGAGGGCGAGAGCTGTCTGGACAGCAGATCCAGGGAGCTCAGCAGACAGTGGGGAAAGGAGAGGAAAATTATGGCTGGGAGGCGGCAGGGTCAGCGGGAACTCTGGAGCCTCAGTGAGTGCCCGGACAAGCAAGCAACTGGTAAATACACCGCAGGCCTGAGCACTCCACGTTTCTTAAAAGGCTGATAAGAAATCATAAGACTGGAATTCTCTGCTTTTAACAGATTTGAGGGCTCCTTCATGAAAATATCCCACTTCTGATCAGGACAGCTCACTCTGCTGCTAAGTGCTGAACGCAGCTGCACTGCTAAGTCCAGCACAACGTGAGGGCACGAGAAGCGGTACCACGGAGAAGTACAAAGCAGCACACTGTATTAAGAAGGCACCTGAGAATCAGCACACAACACACGCCCTACCTCCAGAAGACAAATACTTAAGTATTTATGGGCTCACAATACAGATGTCAGATAATTTCTTTTCTCCTGACCCAGAGGTCATAAACCACTCAGGTCCAGAGACAAATTCCATTTCTTAAATTATTCTACAGGAAATCAGGCTACTTGAACACTTCACAAATTCAAAGTGCTTTGCATTCACAAATTTAAAATCCCTTCTGCTTCAGTTTCCTCACAGGTAGATAGTAATTATAGCCAAAACTTATTGATGGCCTTCTCTGTGTCAAGCTCTCTACCAGCATCTCATTTACACGGATGAAGCAGATATCATTATACTCATTTTACAGATGAGAAAACCGAGGCCTGGAGAGATCGAGTGGTTTATCCCATAGCTGCTAGACCTCAGAGGGGCAAAGGCGTTGCATTTTGTGTTTGGATTTTACAAGCCAGTAAAATTTCAAATATCTATTTGGAGATCCACAAAGGATTGCCAACTGTGTGTTTTTTAAGTCATTTACCATAATATTATATAAGAAAAGACACATAAGGATTTTAAAAAGCAGGAAGAACTTAATCTCAGAATAAAGGACATTCTTTTAACTGTAATAACTAAAGGACATTCTTTTAACTGTAATAACTTTAGTTAGTATTTTTTAACAAGAGGCCTTTTTTTTTAAATATTTCAGGTACACAAAGGGCATAGGTAATGTAACAAACATCTGTGTGCCCTCCTCCTAGCTTAAGAAGCAAAACATTACAGTGTGAATTACAGTTCTCCGGACTGTTCTGTTCTCTTCCCGTTCCCTTCCCTCCGCACAGATAGCTATTTTCCTAACATGGGTGTTGCTCACTTCCCAGAACATGTTCACTCACTCAGCCATGCAACTTTGTTCTTTTAGTGTGGCCATCTCACCCGTGGACCAAGATGGGCAGTGAGGATCCAGTGAGGCACAGGCCTGGAGGAGACTCCGCAGAGAGCTCCTATATTTGGGAACCATTGCACTGGACTGTGGTGGTGTCCCTCTAACACTTTCAGGAAGCAAAAACGCCCTTCAGTATTTAGGTAGGAGACAAAGTCTGTACCTTTACTATTATCTCCAAAGACTGACACATACTTGTATGAGTCTTTAAGTGACAAATCCTTTATAACCATGCTTTCAGGTAATTTCATGAGAGCCCCCTCTCACACGACCCAGAGTTACTATAAGCTTGTTTGTCTGGTTTCCCAGCCACATTGTGACTCTTTCATTTCACAGAGAGGCCCAAGAGGCCCAGAGAGGTTAGGGTCTTCTCCAGGTCACACAGCAAGTTGTGGCGGAGGCAGGATCACCACCCAAAACGCCCAGCCCCGGGCTTCCTGGTCTCCAACACCACGAACCCCATCAAGTTCTCAGTACAGAAGAGGCCAGCGATGTGTTGTTCTAGGGTTTCGTTGGTGGGGACGCAACAAAACGATGTCGCTGTTGTCGCTGCTGTTGCATATTATGCATTCTACCATTTCCAGCAAAATGCGAAACATAAATGTAAAAACAGGAAATATTCAACGCCAGCAATAAGAAAAGAGAAAAGAAAAAGCCTAGGAGGATGGAGAGTTTCTGGATACTTTTATTCCCCTTCCTGGCCTCCTCCTTCACAAAAGCAACGGTTCCAAAGTTGGAAACCTCCCCGGGAGGCGCGGGGCTCCCCGCGCTGGCGAGGCTGGAGGTCACCCAGGGCTCGGGCAGTACCTACCATGGCGTCCGAGCCGTGGCCCCCGAGCGACGTGGGGAAGCGCACGTCGCGGACGGACAGCCCGCAGATCCTGCCGCCCACCATGTCTCCGCGCGCCCTGGAGCCGCCCGCACCGCTGGATCCCGTGCGCGGACCCCGTGCGCGCGAGGGGAAGGGGGGTGGGGGGGCGGTGCAGAGCCCGGCACGGCGGGCGCTGATTGGCCGCGCGGCCCGGGGGCGTGGCAGCGCGCGCTAACTTAGCGTGACCGGAGCTGCGGGTCCGCCCCCGGGCTCCTTGGGGCTCCCGTCGTTCCCGACGAGTTTCCGCCCAGCGCTGGCCCGCGCTGCCTGCGCGCTGGGTCGCTGAGGGTCTCGGCCGACCTCTGGGCGACGATGAGCCCCCGCGCCTGGTCGGCGTCTCCGCAGAACCCTGCTCCGCGGGGCTGGAAACTCGCGAAGAGACCTTCGCAGGAGCGGCGCCGCGGGGGAACAAGGCGGGTCTGACCAGTGTGACCGCCTAGCAGCAGCTTCAGGCGGCGGGCTCGGCTCCTGGCTGAGTCCGCGGGGTCGGTGCCGGTGCAGCCAGGGGAGCCGTGGGCTAGAAAGTCCTAGGTGTCTTTTAAGTAACCTCAGCCTCAGATTGCGCCTGATAAATTAAGAGGCGAGTCACCGTTTATTAAACCCCTGCTGATGCAGAGTGCTTAAATAAATTCCCTCTTACCTGCCAACCCTGCAAGGTAGGTAGATCATTTTCATTTTATTGGTGAAGAAATGGGGCTTCAGAGACATCAAGTGATTTAAGTAACTTGCCCGAGGGCACACAGCTAGTTAAGTGGCAAAGTGTCCTGGCCGCAAACCCTGGGCTCTGTCCTCAGGATTGCAGGGACTCTTGTGTTCAGAGCTGTGGGATCCCTCTGAGAACATGGTGAAAGCCATAGACACTCTTCCCACCTCCCCCCAAAGTTTGCACACACGTGAGTTTTTATACCATTTTAGAGGGTTCACTGACCCTGTGCCTTGCAGTACAGCACACCGACAGTTCCTACCTCTGGGGAATGCTTTGACGATTAAATGAAATGTTTGGGAAGCAATACTATAGATGTATTATTCTATTAATATGTTTCTGTGGGTATGGCAGGGATATTTTCAGGGACACCCGGGTCACCTCCGCTGTTCAAGGATGCATATAACCCTGTTGGATGAATTCCTTTGGCTTAAGGCTGAGATAGTCATCTCAAATGCCTGCAGAGGCCAGGCGCACGCAAGGAAGCAGAGGGAGGGTGAGGCGGGAGGCGGCTGAACTGCGGCTAAGGGCCTTTGCTCTTCGAAAGGGGTAGCCAGTTAGTGCTAGCTGATCGTGGTTCTGTGCGAATTAGAGCTCCGGGTTGCTGTATCTTCTCATTTTCCAAGAGAAGTCTGAAATTCAAATGTTAATATGAAATATTCTTTCTTTTCTCCTGTCCTGTCCTACGCACTTGGCAGTATAGATATATAGATATTTAACATATGGATCGACATTTATTAACATTTAAAGTTTTATCCATTTGTTTGTTCACCACTATTTTTTGCTTTCTTGAATTTTTTTCTTTTTTTGGTGTGGCTCGAATATATATATGCTCAATTCATTTTTTCAGAATAGATCTCTGCTCTGAGTGATGTATCTTCTGAGTACTTTGTGTTCTGAAGATGTCTTTGTTTTTCTTTCAGATTTGAATGCTGGTTTTATTGTATAGAATTCTTAGTTCAAATTAATACTTTTTGAAGTGTCATTCTTTAAAGAATAAGCTGGGGTTTTTTTCTTTCTCTTTGGAAAATGTTTGGGTTTTCTCTTTATGGTTTTGAAATACTACTAATATGTGTTTAGGATTAATTTTTAAGTTAATCCTATTCTACAATTGATGGATCCTTTCAACCAGAAGCAATATACTTCTCTGGAAAGTTTTCTCCACTATTTCTTACATTGGTTTTTCATCTTCATTCTTTTGTTTTCTTCATCTGGAACTCGGGGTGGGTTGATATTGAACCTCTGAGTCTATCATCCATGCTTTAACTTTTTTTTTTGGAAATTATTCTGCACTTTGCTTTTTTTTTTAGATCTTTTTTTTTTTTGAGCAAGATTGGCCCTGAGCTAACATCTGTTGCCAGTCTTCCTCCTTTTTTCCCTTTTTTCTTCCCAAAGCTCCAGTAGATAGTTGTATGTCATAGCTGTACAACCTTCTAGTTGCTCTGTGCGGGACGCCGCCTCAGCATAGCTTGACTTAGTGGTGTGTATGCCCATGCCCAGGATCTGAACCAGCAGTCCCCGGGCCGGCAAAGTGGAGCGCGTGAACTTAACCGCTGCACCACCGGGCCAGCCCCATGCTTTAACTTTTTAAAGAAACTCTTTTGTGTGTGTGTGAGGAAGGTTAGCCCTGAGCTAATATCTGTTACCAATCCTCCTCTTTTTGCTGAAGAAGATTGGCCCTGGGCTAACATCCGTGCCCATCTTCCTCTATTTTACATGGGACACGGCCACAGCATGGCTTGACAAGTGGTGCATCAGTGTGCGCCCGGGATCTGAACCTGTGAACCCCGGGCCACCGAAGCAGAACACGTGCACTTAATGGCTATGCCACTGGACTGGCCCCTAAAGAAACTTTTTGACTCTTTGTTCTTTTGTGCTAAGTTCTGGGCATATCCTTTGGCTTAATATTCCAGCTCACTGATTTGATTTCCAACTGTGTTCCTTCTTTCATTCATCCAAATTGTCTAATTTTTCTTTGGTGTTATTTTAAATTTCCAAGTTTTCTTTTCATAGTACCATCATCCCTTTTTAAAAAATGGATGCCATATCCTCTCAAAACAAAGTTTTCTTTTGTTTCCTCCATTACGTTTGGTTCCTTAAGGGTTTGTTCTTGGTTGTTGCTTTTTAATTCTTTTCCTTCTTGATGCTGGTTATCATGACATTAGTGTTCATATGTCTCTTCATATTTATTGTTGAGAATCACATTTGGCTTTCTGTGAAGTTAGATCTTGAAAACCTGTTTCTGGTGATTGTGGAGGAGGGGTGGGAGATGTGGCTGCACAGGTACAAAAGTAGCTTTTCTTCCAAGTGGGGTGGCTTGAGTCCCTTTTGAGCCTTCATTTCAGTCATGTTCAGGGCTGGATCCTAGGGAGAAACATCAGAATAAACCACTCCATTTTCTGTTTCCCTTGTGGTGATCAGGATTTACTTTAGGATCTGCTGTGCTTTCATCACCAGCCCACAAATTCCATCTAGGGATCTCCCAAGGCAAACTGTGAACTTTGTTTGGAAAATTGTTAGTACTTTTATCAGCTTATCATACAGCAACAGGCCATTCCATATGCTGCCCCTTAATTAATGACCCTAAAAAAATTGCTATAATTAATATCCCTATTACGTCTAGGGAAAATAAAGTAACAGGGACAGGATTTATACTCCCATCTTACACAGCTAGAAAACCAGCTAAAATATTTGAAAGAAAGGACTTCAGACACTGGACCACAGGGAGAGCAGGACAGTGATCATGGCAAGAAGAGAAACAAACAAAGCACCCTACAGTTGCTCCAGCCTACTGTCTAGAGGCTGTTTGTAGCCTACAGTGCAAAGAGGGACCCAAACTGAGCCCAGCAGTCTTGCTGAGTTGAGGAGACAAATATTAGTGTTTATTTCTGTTAGAGGAGACCAACATGGCTATAATTTGAGAGGCAGAGAACAGAAGGATCCCTTCTAATCTTTGGCTGAGTACTGACATGCATATGAGTGAAAGGAAACTACTCTAGTTTGAGAAAAAGCCACCAGAAAGGAACAGGCAAAAAAAATTATGGGCAGTTGCACGGGGTTGGGGACAATACCTGTTCCTGCCAGCCAGAGAGAAAAGATTTGTAATACATAGAGCACTGGGTAGAATCCTCAGCAGGGTAGTGCCTTATGATTGGAGATAAATTCTCCTAAGACTAAAGATTGTTTTGGACCTAACAGAGCTTGAATATAAACCTTGGAAGGATTCAACTGATTCCAAGTAAAGAATAGACAAAATAATACGTGGAGGTTGCATGGGGCTTAGAATAGTTCCTGTCCCCACCAGCCGGAGTAGAAAGTGTGCATGAAATCAAAATTCAACATTATTTAAAAGAACACACACACACAAAATTCCAGCAACCAAAAACTATAATTTACAGTGTTTAGCATCCAATCAAAATTACCAGGCATATATAAAAGCAGTAACAGATAGCCCATAAACAGGAGAATGGCCAATTAATAGAAATAGACTGATGAGTGCTAACATCCAGATAAGAACCTTCAAGAGAGTAAAATGTAAGCATAATAGAGATATGAAAGATATAAAAAAGAAGAAATGAAAGCTGGAATTTCTGAGATAAAAAATATATACTCTATGGGATTAAAAGCACAATAGACACTGCAAAAGAAAAGATTAGTGAATATGAAGACAGAGCAAAAGAAACTATCCAAAATGAAGCAGAGAGAAGGATTAAACAGAAAAAGAACAAAGCATCAGTGACCTGTGAGACAATATTAAATGGCTCAATATACATGCAATTGGAGTTCCAGAAGAAGTGAATAAGAAAAACAAGTTGAAAGATAATGGCCCCAAATTTTCCAACTCTGATGAAACTATAAACCCATTGAATCAAGAAACTCAAAGAACCCCAAGTAGCATAACCTTTAAGAAAGCCATACAAAGGCACATCATAAATTGCTGAAAACCAAGAATAAAGAGATTATATTTTAACAGTCCAGGAAGAAAAGACCCTTTACATATAAAGGAACAAAGTTGAGGAACACAGAAGACTTTTTGTCAGGAATAATTCAAGGTAGAAGACAGTGAGAGACTTCTATAAAGTACTTCTGGAAAAAAAACTGTCAACCTAGAATTCTTAACTGAGCTAAAACATGTTTCCAAAAGGAAGTCAAATAAAAACTTTTTAAATGCAGTGCTGTCAGATCTGTGCAACAAGAAATATTAAAGGAAGCTCTTCAAGGAGAAGGAAAATGATACCAGATGGAAATTTGGATCTACCCAAAGGAATATTACCAAATATAAAGGGAGACATTTAATAATAATAAAGGGGTCAATTTATCATGAGACACAACAATGCGAGATGTATGTACA